TTTGGGACATCCCTGGGCTGAAAGGTGGGGCCTGACTTATCCACCGTATCTTTATAATTTGTCCTTTCAATTATGACACAGTGGAGATAAGATAGAAGAAAGGTCATATGCATATCAAATTGTTTTTAAAGATGCACTGTGTAACTTTTCTCGAAGGTGTCTGCCACCAGCTTGGAGCTTGGAAATGTTACAGTTTAACCTGGAATGTTCCACAGTATGACATTACACTTACCTATGTTGCAATTATGCTGTTATTTTTATGGCTTTAAATATTACATATTACAAATATACAAACATTATTACTGTGAGTGGGTTGGCCTTCCTAGAACCCTGACTTGTAACTTTACCTGTTTTGTCACCTGCTTGTCTTGTAGATAGATGGGTTTAATGCCATACTGTGAAACCTTCCTAGCCAGGCTGGCGCCACCTAGTGCCTCCGCTCTATTTCATTTTTCTCCAGCTATTAGATCAGGAATCAGAATACACTAAATGGTTTGCAAGAAATTCTGAAATTCGGGCACCAGCCAATCAGCGAAGAGCCATACATTCTGTGTTGGCAACAATTCCCGAGATCAAGGATTTAAAGCCTGAACAAAGCGAATGTTTGGTGAATTTGAATCAAGGAGAAAGACATTATTGCCCTTCTTCCTACGGGATTTGAGAAAAGCTTAATATACCAGTTAGCTCTGTTAGTGGTGCATTACTTACGTCACGACAAAGTAGCAGCGATTGGAAGTACCCACCTACAGTCGAGCGAACGAATCCTAATGCTGTGAGGTCAGACGGTTTCCACGAAGTGAAACCTTCTGATGAATCAGGCTAGAACCTTCCAGCTTAAGTTGTAACATATCAAAGGAAACAGACAGACTCTCCACCGGTGAAGTTACACAGTGCACTTTAATGATGAGCTATCATGAATTTCATTAGAAGCTTTTTAGTATGTATAGTAGTATTAGCCTTTTACCTTTGTCCTGTTTACTCAATTCAACTTGCTATTTTTCTCTTAAAAAATGTATGTATTTACGTAATATTGATCTGAAATGGTTTAAAAGGGCATTCCGGTTTCTGACAAAAAATACGCCCTGTGAAAGACGCGTTTCTGACTTCTACCGCCACTTATTGTCCTGTAGGACTGTGCAAAAATATTGATATATTGTATTGTTTAATGTGATGAAATGGTGTATATCGTGTATATCATATATCACGTATATCGAGTATTTTTTGTATACTTTACTAACTAATTTTGTTACAGCGCTACAGTTTTGTTGCTTGTTTAGAGGAAGGAAACTCATTTATGCAACACATTTGACATTTTCACTGTTTTGATGATTAAAATGTTGCATTTCATGTGAACTTTGCACAAGAAGTGGTTTAACAAAGACTTTTAGGATCACAGCCATGATTTAGCCTTTGTTATTGAACCATATCGAATCGATTTTAAATATATCATATCGAATTGAAAGCTCAGTGTGTCGGGATTTGTATTGTATCGTTGCTTATGTATCGTATATTATTAATATATATATCGTATATTATGTATGTATACATGTAGGTATGTATCGTATCAGCAATTTCTTAATGATACCCAGCCCTACTGTCCTGTCCATTCTATGACGTAAACAATTAACTAACCGAACTGGTGTAGGTGATAATTATCTGTCAATAACTGCTTTGATTATGGGCATGGCAGATAACACAGTACAAAAAAAGAACAACATCCATAAAGACTCACACGCCCACACAGACTTCACGTATGCCAAAATTACAACCTGGTTCACTGACTTCCTGTTCAAAAGTGCAGAACCCTGAAGCCCGCCTCTTCATAATGGCTCTTCACTCCTTTTTTTTTTTTTTCTTTATAGCTGTCGACATGTCCCGTTTGGTCTGGTGAAGGGGATGAAGACTCGGACCGGAGAGGTGGTCTTTCTGGAGGATGTCCTGGATGAAGCGCGCACCAGGATGCTACACAACATGAGCCAGTCTAAAAGTAAACAAAACCTTATTATAACATGTTATATTCCCATAATAAATCATATAAGTGACATATTAAGCCCCTCTGTAAATTAATTTAAGGGAGTATTGTTTGTCATTATAGTGCCATTTAATTTTGCTTTTTCATCATAGCCACAAAAGAACTCGAAGATCCAGAGGACACGGCCGAGAAAGTGGGGTTAAGCGCATTAATAGTCCAGGTAATTTTTTACAACTTTTTAATTTTTTGTATGGAGTTGTGTTTTGTTTCATTTACACATATTTCAATAACCCATTTTTGTTAGTCTGTCTACATTGCCAAAGCTCAAAATGCTCTTTTCCACCATGAAGCAGTAGTTTTCAAGTTAACAGCTACCTTTTACCTTTGTTCAGTAAAGATTGGCAAGTCCAGCGCCGAAATTATTCAAATGATTCTAGCGAAGATGTATGGAGTTTTCTGTTTGAGAGAAAAATTCAGCCTAAATGTGCCAAGTTTGTGTGTTAAATATGTGTGAATGGAACAAAATACAACTCCAAGTAGATTTTTGATGAAGAAACAAGATAATAATATGATAAGAAAATAGTACAATATGTGCCCTTTAAATGAGCAATAAGACAGGACACCATAACATCAAGTTACAGGTCAGATCTGTGGAATGGCAAGCCCACTCACAGACATAATGCAAGTTTTTGAGATGGTTTTTGAGCATCACTATGAATTTTCTGTATCGTCCTGTATTCCCTGTTGTAAATTCTCTAAGGGAACTGTTTATTTGGTCAGGCTCTTGCAGGCAGCTCAGGGGTCCTCGGGAGCACCATAGTAACGCTGTCACTGTTACCATGGTGACGCTGTTATTTGTGGCCCAACTGCTGTAGCTTCAGATCTTTACGTTTAACCTAATCTAAGTTTATGACAAAGGTGGATTTCTATATTTCTAATATTTTTTTAAATTGCTATGTGATGTTCCAATGCTAATTAACTTTATTAACTTGATTTATTAACTTGATTTACCTGATTGTTGATGTAAATTGTTTAATAGTTACTCATAGACTGATTATATGTGTGTGTAACTTCAGTGAGCAACATGATTCAGATGTTCATATAGATTACTAAATGAAAGAATAGTTCAGACAAAATCAAACAATCAGCTTAAAGACTAAAGACAGGACATTAAAGGCTCCAAAATATGTTCTTGTGTCTGTATTTACTCTCTAACCGGAGTATTGTTTGGATGAAGTGTTCCAGTACACGGTATACAGTATAGTATCTCCAACATTATATTTTTGTGAGCTCCAGTCAGCTTCTTCCTCCATATTCCCGCCCTGCATTTCCTTTCTAACACCGTACTAATCTTATAATTGGTAAGAACACCCTAAGCATCTGTCAGTACTAAATAATATGAGGTATTAAGATTGTTTTGACACACCTGCATGACAAAACTATTGACACAATGATTTATTTCTTTTAGGATTTTAAAGGGCCTCTACATTCAGATTACAGCTTTGACTGGGACAGAATCTTACAGGCTCAGGGGGACACCGGGGTCTTCCTCCAGTACACCCATGCACGCCTCTGCAGGTTTTTGGATCATTTAATTTTGATTTTTTCATGTAGTCTGCCCTGAAATTGAGCAAAGGATCATGGTCAATGTAGTTCCTTTTTGTTTTTTAGCTGTTGCTGCACCATAACAATGATTTTAAGCAATGGAATGTGATTTATTGTAACAGTATTATTGTGGCATTATTGTGGTGTTATGGTATGTTGCGTGAGCAGGTATTAAGTGGATAGCATATTATGGTACTCAGAGATATACTTATTTAGCCACACCTCAAGAAATGATTTGGCAGCGACATGAAAACTGAGGTTACATGGCAAACCAGTTAACATTGAAAGATTTTATCAACACTTTGTTACTCTGTTGAAATAACACAGCCTGTGGAAACATACTTACTGAATAAATATTTGAAATGTACTTTTATATATCTAGTCGTAGATAATTGTCTGCTTGGTTAAATCTTCTCCATCTGTTTTCATTTTCTAGTTTACTACAGAAGAATGAAGACTTGGAGGCAGCTCATTTTGACCCTTCCCTGCTTAATGAGCCATCTGCCATCTCCATAGTGCAGCACCTCCTTCGGTAAACCATGTTGCCCAACCGTTATGTACTGCAAAAATAACAGGATGTTTAATTATTTACCTTTACTACACCATTATTGATTTTATAGTTACGACGAAGTGTTGCACCAGTCATCTCAGGATCTCCAACCCAAACACCTAGTCAACTTTTTATTGAAGTTGTGGTAAGAGTTGTGGTTGGTGTAGTGCTTCATTTACAGTGGTGTTGTGTCATAAAACGATATTTGTTCATTTCAATAGCCACTTGACTGCTTCAGCACACAGAGAACTGCCCGTCAAAGGAAGTCCAGCAGAAGTGGCAAAGGTAAAAATATAGTACATTGCTAAATTCTGAATGGTATTACTGCTTTTTTGTATTGTGAGGTACAATTTTAGATATATTTGCAGCATAACATGGCTATTTTTACCAATTAAAAGCAACACTGTATATACTACCAGTAAACATCTTGGACACGCCCTCTCATTCAATGTTTTTGTTTATTTTGTTGTTTATTTTTTTACATTTTATACTAGTATACATACAGAAGACATCAAATATAGGAAGTAAGATATGGAATTATGTATCAAAACACTAAAACTAAATATATATTAAAAAAAAAAAAATTATCTTCAAATCCTCAAAGTAGCCACACTTTGCTTTGTCGAAATATATATAGTTGTTACTTTTTTCCTTATATCTTGGTTCATACATTTGGTGTCTTCCATGTGTATCCAAAATGTAGAAAGTAGTAAAAGGAAAAAAACATTGACTAATTTTTTGTTTTTTGTATTTTGCAGGCACGAAGGCGTCTGTTCAAAGGTTCCTGTTCAGTGTTGGCCAACGGGATTAAGCTATTAGGCATTACACCTGTCCAAAAAATGTAAAATAAAATAAATAAAAAAAATAGGGAAATTATGTGTAAATAAAACATTTTTTATTAAAACTGTTGCACTTTTTGCCCTTTATATATTATTTGACAGACAAGTAACTGTTCATCGAAAGGATTTCAACTTGAGATTTGTCTTTTTTTTTTACAATAATTTTGATTCAAATAATAAAAAATACATGCTGCCTGTGCATCAAGTGATATGTACAAGACACAAAAGATAATACATGACTAAAGATTATTCAGTATAAGGAGCTGACAAGATTGAGATCCCATGACCATTTGAGATCCTATGTCAGAGATGCTGAGGCACAGTCCAGTTTTATACAGCTCTCCAGCACAACTGAAGACCAGTGACAAGGCCTAAAACAAATCCTTGTGTTTACATTCAATCCCAATGTCAAAAGAAATGACACGTGTACAAAAATTCAATTGTCAGTTCCCACAAATGACTTCATTAATTCTTAGCTTAGGACTACAAAAGCTCCAATAGCTCTTTATGTTATTAAAAAGAGCTTCGTCATGCAGTTCCCTAATCACTTGGAATCAAACTATAACCGGAAATCATTTGGCAAAAAATAATAAAAGTTTCCTTCTTCAGTGACGTGTGATGTCCCATTCTGATTGGATTCTGTAACATCAAACAGGAAGCACCACAGTGTGTAGGCTCGGCAGAAACCTGTTGTGGAGGTTACACTGGTATAAGTTTTGCTTTGAGCTCTTTGTCTGCTTCTTGTCGGGGCAGTTTGGTCGTGTCCTGTTTTGGGAGTCCATACAAGTAAATGGAAATGCAAACCAGCAGGGCACCAGAGAAGAATGTGAGAGCTGCAAAAGAAAAACAACGCTGTTATAATCTGATAAATTACACTAAAGATCAGTTCTACAGATGAAATGTCATATGTTATGTTCTGTTTGGCTCTTTATCTTCATGGAGAACAAGATCATTTCAAACTGTGGAATATTAGAGAAAAATCAATGTGATTTTCATGCGGCTGAATACCACGTTAAGTTCCAGGTCAGCTCTGTGAAGAGGCAAGACCACTATGAACAAGAATGCAAGCAAGAATTCAAGATTTTCAGTGCTTTTACCAGAGGTGGGACCAAGTTGTTGTTTTGAAAGTCTCAAGTAAGTCTCAAGTCTTGGACCTCAAGTCGAGTTAAGTCCCAAGTCAAAGACAGGCAAGTCCAAGTCGAGTCTCGAGTCGCTGGCCCATAAGTCCAAGTCAAGTCCAAGTCATCTGGTTTGAGCTTCAAGTCATTTCAAGTCTTTAAACCAAAGTACCAAATATAGCTGAATTTTTTGCAATTTATATGAATTAAACTAAATTAAAAGTCATGTAAATACTCACATATAAATATAACATAAGAGTTGTAGAAATGCAAATTTTTCCTTTTTAAATATCTTGACCAGATTTTAGTGTGAATCATTACGGTCAGCATCAAGCATCAAGTCTTCTCAAGTCACAGGCCTCAAATCCGAGTCAAGTCCCGAGTCACTGATCTTCAAGTCCAAGTCGAGTCCCAAGTCTTAGCCCATTTTGTCAAGTCAAGCCTCAAGTCCTAAATATAGTGATATAGTCTGGCTCGAGTCCAAGTCACAACTTGCAAGTCCCCACCTCTGGCTTTTAGTGTTCTTTATTTTGGTTTATATTTTTGTCTTTAAGCTTTAAGGCATGTTAGAATGTTGTTACCTTGTCAAAAACATACCTGGAGTTGTGTTTTGTTTCATTTACACATGTTTGAATACTACATCTCCAAAGCTCAAAATGCTCCACCTTGTGATCTCATTAAGCAGTAGTTTCCAAGTAAACAGCTCCTTTAACCTTTTATTCAGTAGAAATGCTCAATTCTTGGGTTGAAATTATCCAAAACACATTTTAATGAAGGTGTATGGAGTTTAAAAACACAGTAGAGCACTTCCTGTATTACTGACATCACAAGGTGGAAGAGAGTGTTTTCAGTTTGAGAGAAGAGCGCAGCCTAAAAATGCAGGGTTTGTGTGCTAAACATTTGTAAACGAAACAAAACATAACTCCTGGAATGTTTTTGAAGAGGAAATAATAATATTGTTTGTTATATTATTATAGTCAGAAAATAGCATGATATGGACACAGTAGAGCTTTAAATATTATGTTTCCAAACTAATAGAGACCTGTGCAGATGTTGTTGCTGTTTAGTAGTTGAGAAAAAGTATATAAAAGTAAAATCTTCAAATGCCCACACAAAATCTGCTCATTAAACAGCACTTTTGCCTGCCCCTCTGTGAATTAAACAGGACGTTGTGAACCCAGAACTATTGACGTACTTATCTGGAGTCCAAACAGAATCACAGAGGCCACAGTGGAGAGGACAATGGCCGCTGCAGCAGAGAAGCCCTTCATGATATTGTCTGTGTACTTGACCACCACTGATGTGTACAGCCCACCCACACTCGCCAGGACTGAAACACAAAAACACGGGATAGTTAGATCAGATCAGGTACAACATAGAGACAATGTGACAGAGAAAATACAGCAATACCGTTGTTTTGACATTAGGCATGTAACAATATCCAAAATATCGTGATATCATATCGTCAAAAGTCTCACAATACTATCAGAGGCCAACACAATATATCGAATTACATGTCTCTTTGCTTAAATTAATAGTTATTAAATTAAATAATAGGTGATTTTAATGTCTTTCTTATTCTGTAAAGCGCTTTAAGTATGAATTATGCAATACAAATAAACTTGCCTTGCCATGGTGCAGAAATAGCTCAAAAATAGAGGGAACTACACTGACCATGATCCTTTGCTATTGTCAGTGCAGACTACATGATGAAATAACTGTTATTAAGCGCTTTTAAATCTTAATTCCTCATATTGTAACAGTATCAAAGGCATTTCAAGGCTTTTCCAAGACTTTTAAAAAGGATTAAATAGCATATTCACAGTTTTGTAAGCCTCAAAAAAATAAATAAATATCAAACTGAGAAAATATTGTATCGAGGGATTTTGATATCATTATATCCCCATTTGACATGACACATCACAACAACAGCAAAAATAATACAGCTATGAATTATTACTGGCAATATAATGGAAAAAATCCAAGGTTGAGCTAAGTACTTATTTTTTATTCTTCTTTAGGCAATGTTATAATGCTGTTAAATCATCAAATGCAAACCCAGAGTTGTGTTTTGTTTCATTCACACACACAAGTTTGAGTAACCCTTTATTATTAGTCTGTCTACATCTTCAAAGCTCAAAATGCTCCAGTTAATGCTTAAACATGTGAATGAAATGAAACACGACTCCAGGTCTGTTTTTGATGATAATATAGATCAGAAAATGGCGTAATATGGGCCGTTTAAGAGTACAATATGTTTCTCCCTCCCTCCTAAGCTACAGATCCATCCATTTAAAAACTTTCATGAATTTGAACTTTTGTGTTTTGTGAATTATAGAATGGAGTCCTAGTCTAATATTTAAAAAGGTACTCAATGCAAAATGATGCCGTACTCCCAGATGGGGGCAAGAGACTTTGAGTTTCCCCCATTGATTACAAAGTACTTTGCCATGAAATATCCAAAAGGTAAATGTACAAATGTTGAACCTGATAATTTCTATTAGTGACTAGACTCTAATCTGGAACCCAGTAAGTGAAATGTTATTGCTTTTCCTTGAATGTTCCACTGAATGACCGGTTAAATGTTTCTATGAATCACTGAATTAAAATGACATTCTTACTGTTACTGAATGAGATTTACAGAGATAAGGCCTGGAAGCATCCCTTGCATGTTCCCATTAAAACTATCTTTAATGACACTTAATGACACACTCTGAAACTTTGTAGGAAAAGCAATAACATCTCCATGGTGACTGACCCTCTCCCAGAAAAGTTACACAGTGCACCTTTTTTTTCTCTTTCAGAATGAGTATATACTTTCATTTTATTAAATGAATGAATAATATTAATTTGATCTTATTGATGTGCCGAACCCTACCCGTCACCGGACACTACAATGCCAGTTTTAAATATTTGGAAATCATTCCAAACAAAGCTTCATGCATCATTCACCACAATCTGAAACACGCCTTGAGTTTACTCACACACGACAAAGCAGACCCAGGGCGTGTAGCCGAAGAAGAAGCCTTTCTCCAACACTCCCTGGGCATCAGTCATGTACACACCGATGAGCGTGACCACAATGCCCGATATGTACATCTGGATATTCCTCACCCAAAGAGAGGTGTCAGAGCTCTTCAGCACCTTCTCAAAGTACACCCCTAAAATAAAAGCGTTCAACACATGGACATGAGATAACAGCTCAAAACGGTAAAATGACAATAGAAATTACACAATTCCTGTGGTTAAAGGTAAAAGTCATCAAACGTGCCTGCAAATCCAGAGCAAATGACAGCAATAGCAATGGCCATGAATCCAAGTAAAGGGTTTTGTTCAATCTGAAAAAGGGAAAAAAACAAAAAACAGAACATAAAATCTTAAATGTGCTGCGGCATTGTGGTAAGACAAATCACAAAATGTTCATGACAGAAATGTGCTTAATGCAGTTCCAAGGCAATGGTTATTATAATTTCAAGAACATATAATTATCTCATTTCAATGACATTAAGCAAAGAAAGCAATTACCGATAATCTCTTTATTACAGTGGAGTGCAGTCATTAAAAAATAATATAGGCATACAGAAAACTCATAATATTGCTGATAATATTGCAATTGTTGTTTTGGAGATATGCTAAATTTAAATATTGAGTATGTTGTAATGTAAATTTTATGGTCCAGATTTTGTGCAATACTTAAACTTCAACCAAGCCATTTACAGTGCACATTTCTGAGTGTGATGATGCAAAAATTGTCGACCTGTACTCCAAAATATACATAACAAAGTGCTGTACATTGACCAGTTTTTAAATAATGTTTGGAAAAGATGATAATAATTTCTGAGGCACCGTCTATGCCATTTCAGCTGCACTTTGCTCCATCTCCTCACCTGAACCTTAGTGGCTTCTACTGGCTTCCACTGCACCAGAGTCACTCCCACACAGAGCATGAACACAGACCCCCACTGCAGGCGACTCAGAGAGCGATTGAGCATGAGGACAGTGCACAAGGCCGTACACGGTATCTTCAGCTGGTACGTCACCTGGACGACATAAGCAGAAAGGAGGTCAGACCAGGATGAGGAGAAAAACCTACAGGGACTTTAGAATGAGTTTACATTACCTGATATACTGCTGCATCCAGGTTACTGAGAGCCAGAAAGGCCATGTTGTTCTGTATGGCGTATACGAGAGAGGGGACACTTAGTTTTAGGAGCTCTTTAGGACTAAAAAATATGTGCTCCACAACAGCATTTTTTAACCTGCTGGGGCTCCCTGTTTCCCTGTAAAGCAAAATATTACATTAGATTTTAAAAACAGAAACAAAATCAGTAAAAGTAGCTGCACTCATCATCAGTTCTATACTTTTACCTTAGAAATGGTAACTTTAAATACTTTTACTCAGTAGTAGTTGCGTAATAGTACTGTTTGATTATAATAAAAAGTAGTGCCACAGTCATTTGGCCGATTGATCAGTTGATGGCGCCTTTATTAGTCGACTAATTATTTTACTAATATTGTTTATGTGGTGGAAGAATACCAGAACATGGAGAGAGTTTTTGGAATGACTGGACTGTTTACATCCACTTCTTTGTATACACAGTCACATTTTTGCAAGAACCTAATAATTCAAAGAGCTTTTGACAACAACACGCTCCCTTTTAGTTAACTGGCTGATGTAAAGGGCAAGTCTGCAGCCCTAGCTTTACATAATTGTTAGATAAAAGAAAAAATGACATACTTCCTCATTGACATCTTTGCCATAAAAAAACATTCCTAATCTAACGAAGATAAACATTCATTCCACTCACTTGGCGAGCATTCCCATACTGAGGATGAGTTTGATGACTTCGGTGATGCACACTGCTGTGGTGGAGAAGTACATGTCTCCAGTTGAAATGGTCCTGGTGTATCGCAGAGCCACTGTGTATGTAGCTGCCACTAATGTCATCACCGTGAGGCAGTACAGTTTGAAGCCCACGCTCACATTTTCTACTAAACACACACACACACACACACACACAAATCAATACAATCAGGTCTGTCACAATAAATACAATATCAGCTTCTTGTTCAATACATGATGGAACAATTATCTTAGGAGGTCAACATTTATTGCAGGCACTTTTTCTTTGTACTAATGTTTATTGGTTACCTTTTCTGATAAGTTCTGAGCTGTAGAAAGTTGAATATTTATATATACTAACTACTTCAGAGCATCATTTTGTTAATTATTTATTGCAGCTCATACCTTTTTAACAATATTGTACATTTAGAATAGTTTTTAGGATAATTCTGCTTTATAGTGTGATTTCAATATTATGGATTATCATCTATATTTACTTTAGCAATATTCCCCACATTAATATTTTTCACTGTGACAGATCTAATAACGTTATGACAGACATAATGAATACACAACTGAATGAACAATACTTCATGTAAAACTAGAAAAGCAATAAGCACTTGAAAGCCTTCCAAAGCACATACTTATTTATAGACCCATCAGTCATGCGCATGGTCAGTATTCTAATTAGTTGTAAATGCTAATGGTTTTAAGTATCTAACAACATTTGCAACCATTTTCCAGAGTAGAAATGTCTGTTAGTTTGCTTCTCTATTGCAAATGATGAAATAAATAACATTTTCTAGCCTAAAAGTTGTATTTGAGCGCTACAAAAATTATGATTCGTAGTGACAGCTGTAATAAACTATTAGATATAATGGAAAACTATTGTGGGATCATCATGTCCCAAAAAACAACAACAAAAAAAACAAACAAACAATAAAATAAATAAAAAGTACATTTTGCGAGCATAAAAATAGATTTCTTTAAACATTAAACATTGCTCGGACAGGGGTACGTGTACCTAAATTATAATTTGCCAAAAATCCTTTAATTTGGGTATAATTTGTTGTTAATCTCAGTCTCACAATTATACTACACTTTACATAAATTTAGAATGTATTTGTTTACGGACTTTTATAGGGTAAATATTGGGCTAATCAGAAGTGGCCCAATTTAACAGGAAGCATTTTTATTTATTCCTCTGTCTGGTCTTCAATGAAGAGAGGCTACGCTAGCGACAACGATGTGGCTAGCTGCTAAAATGATAAGACTTAGAAATACTAACTCACCCGCCATTATTGCTGTTTTCTGCGTCAGTGCGTAAGTACGGGAAGTCAGAAGTGGCATGACATGGATAGCCACTGTTTGGTGATGTTCTGGCAAAGAATGTCTCTTGGCCAGAACCTGTAAGCGCAGATTGAGCTACATCAGGCTCGCAGTTTGAGGTACTACATCTCCCACAATGCACCGCTGCTGACACAAAAGGTGCGTTTGATGAGTAATCAGGCAGCTGCCGACGGCGGGGCGGCCTATAAATTAGGTTCATTCATTGTACAGCTATTGTATTGTATTATATTGTACTGTATTGTATTTCATTGTTTAAGTGTATATTAATTATTTTTTATGAGTTTTGTATGTAATAATGCTTAATTACTATTTTTTTCTTAAACACACATGGGGCGGCCTGTGTATAAAACAGCTTAATTTTTTTCCCATTTGCATATATTGTAAATGTATATTTAAATTTCTGTAATTCCGTTAAATTTGTTTATAACAGAGGTGGGACCAAGTCGTTGTTTTGCAAGTCTCAAGTAAGTCTCAAGTCTTTGACCTCAACTCCAAGTCAAGTCCCAAGGCAAATCCAAGTCGAGTCTCGTGTTTCTTGCTCATAAGTCCAAGTCAAGTCCAAGTCGTCTGCTTGGAGCTTCAAGTCAATTTAAACTTTAAACCACTTTAAACCAAAATACCAAACATAGCTTTGGTTTTTGCAATTTGTATGACTTTTAAACAAAATTGTACTTAAAGAGTCATGGTATATTTATATATGAGTATTTATATAAGAGTTGTAGAGATGCTCATTTTTCCTTTTTAAATGTCTTGACAAGATGATTACAGTCAGAAAAGATAGAATTCAGATTTAAAACAGCTAATTAACAGTTATTCTTTCATGTAGTTCTCTGTTACTCCCTCTGTTGTACTGTATTGTAGTACTATATATTACTGAATAATACTGTATATTAACGTAGTACATTTGAGGATACCACATCACAGCGCCGCATGTATCATCTGTACAGAAAAAAGGATTTTCTAAAAACATATATATTTTTAGGAGAAGCATCAAGTCTTCTTAAGTCACAAGGCTAAAGTACATGTCAAGTCCCAAGTCATTGACCTTCAAGTCCAAGACGAGTCCCAAGTCTTACTCCATTTTATCAAGTCAAGTTTCATGTCCTAAAAATATTGACTCAAGTCTGACTCGAGTCCAAGTCATGACTTGCAAGTCCCCACCTCTGGTTGGTAGCCTTAGGAATCAAACACTTTATATATAAGCACATATGAGCTAACATGGCTGTCTATGGGTGGGAGACCCAAAAGAGATAAAATATTGAACACATCCATGTAAATCAAAACTACCAAATGTAGATCATGGCCAACTTTTTTATTATTCATTATAAGTGATGTATGCCTTTTTTAAATATCCCCACTTACCCTTATCTTGTATGACCTTTATTTATGCCAGAACACAAACACAGAATCACAGTAAAGGCAAGCAAACAAGATAATCAATAAAAAAATGACAGATCTCCAAAATAAATTAGGTACAATTACAAATCAAAACATAATAATTCAGGAACAGCAATATAATAAAGGAAATTGTTATTATAATATATAATTACTCATTGCCTCCTGACTGTAACAGGCTGCTGTGCTCCTCTTCTTCATGCTTACACAACATGGATCTAGATACATGTTATTATTTTTTTTGACTGTGCCCCCGTCCACATACGTAACAGTACATTAAAAGTTTAGACACAGACTTGCCTCAACAAAATTGGAAAAGAAATGGGTCAAAACCCCTCAATAAAACAGTCTGTCTCTTGTAATATTTTGTTGCAGTAAACCCGTGTGGTGCACTCTAGAGCTGCGCAATATCTTTCAGTGAAGGAATAGTTAAAATGTTGTTATGATCCTAAATCTGAGCAACTGTACATATTTACAACGATGTTTCTGTCATGTTTCTGGTTTCTGACCAAACAAATTTTATTATTGTAGCTCACATTTACATTAAGTCTGTGCAACTCCATTTGAAAAAGTAAATACAGAGATTTACATTTCAACTTTAACCTAAGTGATACTTTAAGGGTTACTATGTGAAAATAGTATATCCAAATATTACCGTCATATCGGTATTACAATATTGGCATTTCCCCATAGTGGAAATGAAGATTCTCTTTTCTCCTATAATATCAAATTCAGCTCATATTATTGCACTACTTGTTATATCGTGCAGCCCTAGCACACTGTATAGACCCATGCATTGCTCTGGTAGCGAAAGCATGGACTGAACACTGCATTATTTATAACCCACTGACATCGTCACAAGCATCTCAAGAACTGTCAGTGGGGACATGCTCAAAGCCCTCGCTCTCCCTCACTAGCGCCCTCTCCAGGATGACACGACCCTCTTTGTAGCGCTGGCTCTCCTCTGTGGCGAACTCGTACATCCAGCCTAGTTTGCTGTTGCAGTTTTTGCAGCTGACGTCGCGCACCATGTGTCTCCCTGTGAGCATGACCCGGTCCTGTACCTCGCTGTGCTGCAGATTCACCACCTGGAAGCAAAGCGAGAGGACAGAATATAATACATTTAATAAATTGTAATTAATATACCATCTTAATTTATACATTTGATTCAGTAATAGTAATTAAAGCCAGGCTATATACTTTAAATGGACAATACGTCAGGAATAAGAAGAATAAATGAGTCAGGATTTAGTGAAATGATAAAAGAAAAAGAATCTTAAGAACCAAATGTTTGGGGTTACGTGTAAGCTCTGTCTTACTTACAGGTGGGGATGGGTGATTTTTACAAAAAAGTATGTCTGTTTTTTGCACTATCTGGATAATTCAGACCATATTTAAAGTGATAATATGCAACATTCTGGTGGTGGAAAGTCAACTAAGCTACACTTTATTGTCCCCACAGGGAAATTTGTCTTCTGCATTTGACCCATGCTTCACTGCCGTCGGGGCACTGCCCCAGGCACATTGGGTCCTGTTACTGGGACAAAGCCCTGGGGCCTAAACATGGTCACCCATTCAAGTCAATGGCCGAGCATAATGCTGCATGTTTCTAGATAAGCCTTTAGCTGTAAGATCCATCCATGGACCCTCCTGCCCACCGACCACACACAGCAGTGCTTGTTTGGGCACATGAAAACACACATGAGCGCGCACAAGGAGCGAGGTCTCACGTACTATTTGACAGCTCTGATCAATCAGAGTGACAACAGCCAGTGCGGCGAAGCTGTTTAAAAAGCAGTTTATAAGATAACTAAAGGATTTTCAGCTGAGAAAAAGTATATGATCAGGATCACTACAAATTTCAGCCTTTTTGAAACCTGACGATGCCCTGTTAGCCAAACACAAGCACGCACATTGCACTCTATAGGGAAAATCCTTTCTGGGCAGCAATTTTTTTTTTTTTTTGTAGTATCAATGAGTCGCCACTAAGCCAACTCAAGACAGCCCCACTGCATGATTCTATGAAAACAGAAAGCTAAATTAGCTAAAACCATTAACCACACAAAGGCAAAAATATTTCTTGTGTTCTTTGTTTGGAAGATTACACTAGACATTTCATGTAATTTTTAATCACCTCTTTTTGCTGTCAAGTTTTAATTCTAGCATATCCCCAGAGCAACAATTGAAATGGATTTTTCAATATATCTCTCACCTCTATTCATAAACATTACCCTGTGGAATTACATAAGCTGAATGTTCTTCTTGAGTGTAGGAGTGGTCAAAAAGCATGAATACAGGTGGTGGCTTATACCTTGTTGAACAGGAAGGCTCGCCCCGTGGCCCCAGTGAATCGTGTGGAGATGAGTTCAGCTCGATTTGTCAAAATAGTGTCACAATTTGCACAGGAGAAGAGGCGAGTCCCGCCAATGTGGTCCAAGAAGATACGGCCCATTTTGCTGAACTGAAAAAACAAAACAAAAACAAACAACAGTCAAGATAAGGTCATGTTGACAGACACTATAGTCCTGATACTGATAGATACTATAGATACTGTCCCTGAGAGCAACAGTATCCTGTATTAAATTATATTTTGTTAGAGCTCTCTTAGAACATCTCATGCTTTTTTGTTTGTTTTAATAATACTGAACCTACTGGCCAAATGCTTAACATAACTTCAAGATGTTATAAACTGGGGGTTGGGTGGTAACTTTACAAGTCACCAGAGCTAAACAGATGATCTAATTTGCATGACAACATCGGTTTTGGTTGACAAAGGTTTACATTGATAGTATTTTCTAAGCTTGACATTGTATTCCCCATGTTAAACAACACATTTTTACCCTCAGTAATGAGTAATAACTATAAATAACTCTTATGTTAAAGGCATGTAAAATGTGATGTTTGTTTAGCTGTAACTAGCAGTAACAGAGGCCAATAACAAACAACCTTTAGCAGAGCAGATGCCTCACCTCAACGCCGGTTTGCTGGTCCCCGGATAAAATTAAACGATAAGCAAAGACTTTTTGCTTCAAGGATATGGCTGTTTTACTGATATTGTCGTCTCTTTTGCCAAAAGAGTGACGCGTTGTCTCCGATGTTGTTGTTAAACTCAGCCCCAAGGAAAGAAACCAAGCTAACGTAGTGTAATGCAGCGTTTCCTGTAATCTGGTTTCAAAATAAACGTTATTATCAAATCCATGTGTTAATGCTCTTTGTCTGCAAACTTTTTACATGGTCAGTCTATACATACGTCGACAAATAAAGTGTAAAAAACATGTTCAGGTACAAACGCGGGTCTTAAGTCTTTCTTTTGGATACACTAAAATGTTAGTGCTATTATTTTGAAAGGTTAATCTGAACCGTAATTCCGGTCGTGCTATGATTGTTTATGTAGTTTCACAAAATAGCCACTAGAGGTCGAGAAGTAGTTCTAATATCAATAAATGGCCACGTTTAATTTTATTTAGACCGGTTTAAAGTACAGTATGATATTATTTTAGAGACATATATATTTATGTATATTTACAAATATCAATTATGTGTTAAATCTGTATTACATTAGAAGTCTCTGAAATTGCCCAATCATAAAGTAGTATTACAGTTTTGGGGCAAAGTGAAGTCAAGATGGACAAGAAAGGTTACTTTGAACAATGAGGCTGGCAGGTAAATGATTTTATTAAATACTAGAATTAACCATGATATGATACCACAATATAATAACATGCTACTTTCTTTAGTGTCCTTGCAAGTAGTCATCTCTTCTCACATGAGCCTCAACAGCACATGGGACCAAGTTGTGCTGCTACAGTCCCTTGAGCTCAATTGACTGTGAATAAAGGTACGTTATGGTAAACTATCTTGTCCTCATATCTAGAAATGTGTTTTCAGCATTTCACGTACACTGTGCATTTTGAGGAAGAATTGTTACACTACTTATCTTTTATCACATCATTCAATACTGATAAATCCTTTGGCATCCTTATTTTTTTAACAATTCTAGACCAAAAGAAGACAATTTTCTTCTTTCAAAAGTGAGCAACTTGTCCAGTGCTGCTAATCCCTATTCAGAGATTAGAAAGATGAATTGGGGTTCATCTGGAGTTAATGTCCTTGTGGGTGAGATAACACAGCAGCAGGCAGAAGTGTAACCTTATATCACAGTAATAGTAATCAACAAAATGAGTCTTGGGAATATCTGATCTGGAGAACGTGATCAGTCATGATGAAACAGCAAATACTTTAAGCCATCTTTTCACGATTTTCACAGACAAGTTTTATAGGTGAAATACCACTGAAAATATCATATGTGCACCATTTTCTTGATCATATTCCCTTTGAAAGAGTTAAGGCAGCATCGAGAAGAAAAACATTTTGACAACACTAATAACACATGTTATTTGGCAGCATTCACCTAATGGATACATGTTTTACAGTGTAGAGTACAGCTGTGGTAAAACTACTGCTCTACTATTATTACTACTGTGATAAAAAAGACTTCATTAATTTGTAGGGTTAGTCCTGGTTTCATGTGCTTATAATACAGGATGATAGAAATGAGACAACCTTATCAAACAAAATTTCTTAATCATGCATGAGGTAGCAGACATTTGCAAACAACAGTATAAAATGATTAAAAGATCAAGCTGATAGTTTTACTTTTCATGCTAAAATCAAATAAGACATTTTATACACAGTAAAAACATTGTTGATTCATTATGAGCTATAATGGTTTTCACTCAAATTACTCAAATTAAGCTTTTTAAAACAGTTTTTCTTCCCTCTCGGCCTCTTCTCTCACCTCTGTATCAGAAAACAGATAGTTAACCGTGATAATGCAAGTTTATGGTATAGTCCCATTATGTAAAATAAGAGCCATAGATTGAACAGACTCAAATGCCCTACATACGACTATCTTCTCATCAAGTGTAATCTCTTCCAGATAAACATACAGATATGTTAAATATGTAATATGTAGAAATGTAGATATGTCCTACTGAAGGTGTTGGTGTTTTCTAAAGGCTTATTTACTTTACTAATTCTAATTTAGGGTGTTTACTGAAATACGTTTGTATGTTTATATTTTTGAAATGCGAATGCCCTATTAAGGGTTAAAGCATTGTTGCTCTTTCTCATTGTTTCTTATTTTATTTCCTTTTTTCTGGTTTTGTAGTAATAAGTTTTGTTTACAGCTAATATTGCCTTACATCTGAATCTTTACATCTTTACATCTTTACATGTCTACATCAGAATTTTGTACCACATCATAATAATAACACCTTAATTAGCCTTAAGAACAAATACTTAATTTATGATGAACATATATAATTGAATTACTAGGCTTAAACATTTAAACATTTTAAATTCAGTCTTTGGATTTATTAAGGTGTTGTTATTATTAACGTGTTATAAATTTACCCAAGTTTAACCACACTGTCCTCTTTTTGTGTCAGCAAATAGCCAATCACAGTGTGTCTTCGTGACGCTTATCACTGATTTGAAGGAAGTCAGCTCCATAACAACATCAAAACATTCCCCTCCTTAATTTCTAATACTATTTCTATTTTTATTGTAACTCCACAATGGTTCTGTTTACATGCATGGTAAAAATCTGGTCATTACAGAGTTAACAGATTATTGAACGGGCACAGTTGCATCTGATTTCTTTCAGATTTTTCACACCTGTGCAGGTTTTGACAAGGAAGAATTATGGAAAACAGGGAAGTTATTGTGGCAAGGATAAAAATTAAAGAAGAAAAGGTATTTTAAAATCAGCTATACTTTGTCTTCCAAAATTCAACAATTTCTAGTTCTTGATTTTTACTGGCCATGTAAATATACTCACTGTTCACAAATTCAACTCATGACCCTGTTGCTGAGCTCTGACTTCTTTTCTACCTGTTGCCAAGTTTATTTAATCGTTGCTAATATTGATTACGTAACATGTCAGTATCAATTAATTAGACTTTCATTATCAGTGTAATAGATTTATTGTTACACCTTTGAACAATGGGCCAGCCCCTCCTCCTGAGCGTGTTTATGACCTGACCAGCGCACACAGTATATCTGATCATCTCTTACAAAGATCATTAAACATCACAGAGGAGAGGAGACGGGCCGTGGAGGTGCACCCAAAGGACTCACTATGGCTGAGATTAGGAGGGGACTGTACCTGGCTCTCGTTTCATTTCTGGGGCTCACATGGACCACTGGAGGTTTATATATGTCATTTATTGATTTATGCTCGTTATAATTGTTTTATTATTTTTTCATCATGATGTTATTAGTTGCGTGTAAGTGAACAAAAGTAAACACCTAAATTATGTCAGTAGAATCTCATGAACAAAAATGGCAATATCATCATTATATCATATTATTATATTAATACAAAAAGTGTTATTTTTGACTAAGTAACAGAATTATATGTTTTAGAAATGCATATTTTGGTTGTAGCCATAAAAGCAGAGAAAACTATTTAGACCTTGATTCTTTGCCTTGTTTTAGTGCAGCCAACATTATAAATATAAAATAGAGCAAAAACTCCTCAATGCTATTATTAGTTTATAGTGAATTAATGTTGTGCACTATGAAATTTGCAAAACGCATCTTGCTGTCTTAAAATCTTAGTACACCATACAAGAAAATGTACCTCTTATTCAATAGAATGTATATATTCAATACACTCAGAAATGTGTTAACATTTTAACACATTTTATTTATTACTAATTAATTTATTGTTCAAAGTTGATAGCCATATAAATTATCTCTAAACTGATTAAATTATACAGATAATAATGAATTGTTTTGAAAACTTTTGGGGAATTTTCACGTTTATTCTATATCATCATTATTTTTGTTCAGCTGTTTCATAATACTGAACAGAATGTTGTTGTTTTTTCTTTATTGCTAGTTCTTGTCTATGTTTTTTTTTTTTTTTTTTTTTTTGCATATATACAATTTTATCTCTCTCTCTCTCTTTTTTTTTTCTTTTTACAGTGATTGCCTTTCCTTGTGACCAGATACTTACTTCTCCATCTCCCCCTTCAACAGGTGATGATGTTTATTCATACGTTCAATAAGCTACATTGAGTTTATGTCTGTAAAAATAAATACATAAGTAGATTAAAAAATACAACATTATTATTTTAACGCATGCATAAAAAGTGTAAATAACTGACCCTCTTGTTTGATTGTAGTGGACAGCGTGCGTCCCTCAGATGTGTCCGTGCTCTCCTCGGTCGGCCTGGACTCAAACAGGTCTGAAAACTGTATTATTCACATGAACAGCAAACATGAGACCAGAGACTGACCATTACTATCGTTTTTTCTGCAGTCCGGAGCTTTCCGGTGTCTTATCAAAGCTCCAAGGTAATATGACCTTTTCATTTCTCTTTAAAGTTGTTGATCGAGTGTTTATAACGTTTCCAATATTAGATGACAGTTTATGGACTATAAATAATATTATAGATAACAGGAAAGTGCGCTTTGTTAAGGGTTTCTTTTACAATTACCATACATTATCTTTATGACTCCCCAGTATAGATTATGAGCAGTGAACTGTGATTGACTGAAGTTAAGTTAATCTTATACCACACTGCGAAAATGAAAATACCTTTATATAAAATTAATATTGAATAAGTAATTGTAGTTTATCAATGTTTAAGTTATTATATATAGGCATTTTACCTCAAATATATCCAATATTACTGTCCCAGCTGGAGATTGCTTCATTTATTACAGTTATAGCTTGGATAAATTGTATTTCTGAGAATAGCTTTAATTATCTATACCTTAATAATTGTCTCATAATACCAGAAACTAAACCAGGATTAAACCAGGTCTAAACTAGGTCTAAACCAGGTCTAAACCAGGTCTAAACCAGGTCTAAACCAGGACTAAACCAGGACTTAACCAGGTCTAAACCAGGATTAAGCCAGGTCTGAAAACAGATTTAAATCAGGATCTAAAACAGGTTTTTAGCCAGGACTGAACTACCGCGCCTCCTCCCATATGCCCCCCACCCCCCTCTGGTCTGTGAAATATTGTCAGATATAAAACCGGTCCATGGCGCAAAAAATGTTGGGGACCAGTTTTCCAGTCTATGTGGGCTTACACTTGTTCTGATACAGCTCAAGATCATTCTAAAGCTTTTCAGGAAAGGTGTATCTAGTTTTCAATCGATACTAATACAAAGCAATAACATATCTTCCCAAATACTTCCCAGTTCAGGCACTAACCCGTGTCACTTCTGTCTTTCAGAGCTGATGAGTTTGTTCAATCCGTCTCTGCTCAGTCCATTCTTTGATCCACCCAGCCTCCTCTCTCCTCTGTTCTTTTCCGACAGGTAAAGTGCAGTTCAAACAGTCATTTAGTCGTCTATGTCTGTGTGCTAGAGTTAGCTTGTGTTTGCAGTTCACTGATGGAGCAGGCAGAGGAAGTGGCCCTCCAGCTCCAGGACAAACCGGTACATAAATGACTCCATATTTATGTGCTTGTCAGTGTTTGGCTTGTCATTTACTGTGTGTTCTTGCAGGATTCCTGGAAACTAATGATGTTCTTTGTTCCAATGGATCAGCTCTGTGCGTGCGAGCAGAAACAGGTATCAGAAATCTCACAGTGTTAAAAAAATAAACAAGTCCAAAATGGGATGTATGGTGGCAGAGTGGCTAGTGCTTCAGACTTCCAGGAGATCTTTTGATGATGTGGTAGTTCAGACTCAGTGAATTTCCAGCCTTGAATTTGTTCATTTAAAAAAGAAAGCAAAAGAGAAAAAAAGTTATAAAGAAAAAACAAAAGAAAACGTTAATGGACACTGTAACTTTTAGGCGCCAGGGTTCACCAATACTTGACTCTGGATAGTATTGCTTTATCTAGAATATTCCACAGCATGGCATTAAATCTATCTTCATCAAGACAAGTGACTGGTATAGGTCAAATCCGTGTAGAGCCAAGCCCACTCATAGAAAGAATGCCTGTTTTTAAGTTATAGTACATGGAGTAGTCTGATGAAGTCTTAAATATCGATCTGAAGATGCATTATTATTTTGAAAAAAAATCTATATTTCACTTGATTGTGTCTGTTTAGGCCTTGTCTGCAGTTGATGAAACAGTCAGAGAGGTGGATGAAGCTTTACAGTTACTCCAATCGCAGGTACAGACCTTAAATGATCAATTCTGAAATATATTTTATTGGATATTTTCTGTAGATAACTTAAAACTGATGTCTTTGTATCCAGCTAAAGAAGACCATCGTCAGTGTTGCACTATGGGATGGAGAACAAGCCAGTCACCAAAGCAGGTCAGTCACACTACTACAAAAACAACAAACACAACATGTTTTAAGGACAATTAATCTGAATTGTAACTTTATCGACAGGAACTGTTTTTGTTCAGGATCCGTCAGAGAAGGAGAGGTCAAACTTGTGAGAGCGATGCAGACTTTTGCTTTGCAGGTTTCATATCATGTTTTTTATTTCGTTGATTTGATTGTAGTTTTTTTCTGGCTGTAACTGCACATTATGATGCTTGTGTGTGTTTTACCTGTAGAAATCTCTGGGTGAGCTGTTGGAGAGGAAGCGATGGTTTTACAAAAGCACAGAAGACTTCACTGTGGTTCTTCAGGAGTCACCGCTGCTCAGAGAAACTTCTGCTGTGAGTCAAAAGAAAACATTTTTATTTGTATTGTATAAACGTTGAGTAGTATCTTGTATTATATGAAGTGTAATATTACAGAATTGCTAATTTAACTTATGAAATGTGCTCACGTCACATCGCGATAGTCCAAGATTTGAGTCCAAGTTTGATAAAGCTTTGAGTTACTTCTTAACATAGGGTTGTTTTTCTGCTTTGTGAACAAGATTTAATGGAGACAAATGGACTTTTAAGAGTTTTTAGCCATGTTAAAACAGTGATCCCTTATCATTAACTCACTCAAAGTTGTATTTTGATTCATTTTCAAAGTAATCCTGTATTTTCCAGCATTCAAGGCTTGACTGCTCAGAAAATGTCTATTTTCACCTGCCCCCCTATGTCTGCCCACTTCATTATATTTACTTGCAATCATTCCAAAAATGTAGACTCCATGTGTAAGGTTAAAAATGCCTTTTAGCCATTTTTGAACAATAAAAACAAGTAAATAATTAAAAATATGCAGCTTGTCATAGTAAAATGCCATTGGGGGCCATCAGTTCTTCAATTTTGAACAGGATATCAATGGATCCATTTCTATTTTTAAGCTGTTTTAGATAAATTTTGTGTTTTACAGTGAACAGAATATATAAAATTTAAAATCATATCAATTGGACGTATTTAAGTGTCATATATGGAAAGCATAATGTTTCTTCTTTCTCAATTGCTCGAAGAATAACTACTCTAGATTTCTGCTTAGTCAAAATACAACTTGATCTATTATCTAATTATCTCTGAATGCTGTTACGATTGTTTATTTTTGTTTTGCTTTTTTTATCAGAGCGGTGCCTCTTATACCGACTCATACCACACAGATAAACTGCTGGTTCAAACGTGGACGCAACTGGTGAGTTTTCTTTGGACAGCGTGTACGATTCCTCTGAACATACACACCATTGTCTTCTTTGATGAAACATGAACACAATGTATGGCCTGTCCTGCAGCTACAGCCTACAGTTGACAACGCGAAACAAGGGGACTTCGCTCTGCCCTGCCCCTCTGAGGTAAGAAACTGGACGCAGCCGCTCGCATAACAGGCCTCTTGTACTATATAGAATGACTTTAAGCTACTACTATTACTATTACTCATTGCTGTTTGTACTACCTGCGTGTGTTTCATCGCGTACTTTCTCTGTCCTCAAGTTCCGGCCCTTTTTGAGGACGTCTGCGAACTCGTATTTAAAGGAAAGCAATGATGTGTCACTGCTAGTTGAATCAGTGAGTATACTGGGTTAAGATGATGGATTTAGGATTGGGTTAATAATTTGTGTTCAGCTTACAGGGACAGAGATGCCATGTTTGGACTTGAGCCCCTCACCTTCAGTACCAAACACAGGTAAAACACTTTGACATACCTGTAAAGTCTAAAGAAAAAATGCTTTTAATTATCACTGTGGTATCAGAATCAGTATCAAGTCTATTTCTTAGTGTCTAGAGCGAGTTTTAAATTTTAGTATTGTTCGGTGACAACACTAAATTGGACTAACATAATTAATATAACTAATATTTTGGTTGTGTATATGTAGTACATAAGCTGAGACCTGGAGATGTCAAAGTGATGGCTGCTCTGGGAGACTCTCTGACAGTGAGTATTTCTCTTGGATTTTTGTAAAAATTAAAAATGTATTCAGATATTGACCTACTAATACTTTATCAATCCAAATACCACTACTGTAGAGTCAGACTTTATACTGCATTAAGAAAGGGGCATTAAAGATACAGTATGTAACTTTCTGGATGTAGTACATGTCCTGCCTTTGTTCCATGGAAATGCATTCTCCATAGACGTAGAAACTTTTATGTCTCCTCCAGACCAAATAAGAGTCAGGTTTGTGGTGGTGCAAGCACACTCACAGTAAGAACTCATGTTTATTGTTAAAGTTTTAAGTCAGTGCAATAAACGCCCAAAATTAAGAAAAAAAAGCTAATACAAATGTTGCATACTGTGGCTTTAAGTAAGAGTTACACTAAAGTGAGGCTAAATAATTGAAATTGTAGCCAAGTTGCTTAATGTTAACTTGATAATGAAATTACCAGTTATAGTAGAAACACATTAATTCATTCATTCTTAAAATGTAAACCATCATATCATAAATCTTTATTCATTAGTTGAATACAAATTTGAATAAGTACATACAAATTCTGTTGTTGAAATACAAAAAAATCTCCATACTTAATATAAAATGTTTAAGCAGTCGTCCATAAGGTTATTGAATATCGTTTTTACGTATTATTTTATATTCACAGGCGGGAAATGGCATTGCGTCAAGTCCAAATAACATTCTGGACGTCCTGACTCAGTACAGAGGTCTATCCTGGAGGTTAGGACTGGTCTAATGAGCATACATGTACTATTTGGAGCACAAACTCTATCAGTTACTTTCTTTACTTGTTTTTCAGCATTGGAGGAGATGACAACTTGACCAGTGTCACCACTTTACCCAGTAAGATGTGATATATATGAATTATACATATGAATTATATTTCAACCATTACAAACATAAGTAGACACGAGCCACGGACATTAAATAGTGGTGGTGAAGAGGAGAAGATGGTGAGGCTGAGGGGGTGATGGTTCTACTGCTGTGGAGGAGTCAGGGCAGTGTAGGGATAAGACATGTTGCTGAAAAAGAAACATGGACTGCACAGTGTAAATATAAATGTCTTGAGAGGTGATTGGTTGAAAGGAAAAAGTGACAGTCTGTGCTTCGCTGACAGGGACAGAGAGGAAAAAGGAGGAAGGACTGTTCATCAATTTACTATAGGAAAAAAGTGAATACAGCTTGTTTCTTCTGGCAGACATCTTCAGGCACTTTAACCCTAATGTGACGGGGTTTGCTGTGGGCACGGGCAGACAGAACAATCCTGAGGCCGCGCTGAACCAGGCTGTGGGTGGAGCCACAAGCCAGTGAGTCACACTTTATTACACTTTATATACACTCACTGCTACGCACAAGGATTCATCAAGTAAATCAAGACTAGTCGACTGTGAAAAATGTATTTAGACAATACAGACTCTAAAACACATATGGAATTTGCGGTCATACCATACCAGTTTCAGTACTATAGCTTTAAATATCTGCCAATACATCTGATACTTTCCTAAAACAAAAACAAAAAAACTGTTATGGAGTTGTTATTTATCTCTTAAGTAACAAACAAAACAACTTTGTTTAAATAAAAGTTCAAACATTATGAGACTTTCTATGACCAGGAAAATCATCTTCAATTCAATAAATATAACAATATTTTGAAACCAATGCTCGATGAAGCAGATTTTTCAGTACCAGTGCATCCCTAGTCCTCGTCTACACTCATGTTTACTAAAGCAGTGTCTGTATCATTCAGGTGCTTAATGGGTAAAATCTCATTATTACCTCATCTGTTTATAGTGGTTCTGATTTAGTCTTATGTTGTTTTGTCCTATACTGGTTCTGAAAGGCTCAGGCCCTTAAAATGTATCATCACATGTACATATTTTACATTTTGTATGTATGTAACAGAACATAATTCTCTTGTTTAGCAATTTGCTGACCCAGGCTCAAGCTCTGGTGAAACTCATGAAGAACGACTCGGTAAAGACAAAAACACAAGAGACGATACTTTCATACTTGCAACCTTCCAAGCTCCTTATCCAAACCTGATGTACTTTGCACTCTTTATTATATCGAAAATAGGATACTAATTGATGTAAAAACCATACCGAAATTAGATACTCATTTGAGCAGATAGTGATACTAAAAATCATACTTTATTGTCTGAAGAAAACATGTTTTTAGTTTTAAAATTGGTATTGAAATCAGTATTGAATCTATTCCTAAGTATCGCAATTGAGTTTTAGTATTGTGACAACACCATTGTTTATTATGTATTATATATGATATTGATTATGACATGTCTTTCTAGAAAATCAATTTAACAGAGGACTGGAAGGTTGTTACTATATTTATTGGAGGAAATGACCTGTGTGACTTTTGCAAAAACTCAGTAAGTATAAATAAACTTGAATACATTATAATTTTTATTCTTCGTAAGGCAAACAATTACTTTATTCCCATTATTCTCCCATTATTCCCTTTTGTTACTTACAGCTGTTGTATTCTGTGGAAACTTACATTAAGAACGTGCGAGAAGCCCTGGATTACTTGCAGAAAGAGGTAATACTGCTATACTACTACTACTGCTACCACCACCATTACTACTACTATACACTACTATATCCTGTGCACGTGGAACAATATTTAGTTCTTGGTTACTGATCATGTAGTTTGTGTTTTAGGTTCCTCGTACTCTGGTGAATCTAGTGGAGGTTCTTCACATCACACCACTCAGAGAAATGCACACAGACACGTCACTCAAATGTCCAACGTGGCTCGTAAAGTGAGTATAAAGTGATGTAAAACTGATAATGTAGTGTACCTATTCAACACTATGCTATTATGATGCACAGATCTAGTATTATAAATACAAAAATTTATTTCTAAGTTTAAATTTAAGCAAGATAGTTGTTTTGAGCATTTTATATTTTACATTCAAGTCAAAAATTACATTGTGGTATGAATATATCTATGGTATTTTAGCAAAACATTCATTTGGCAGCGTTTACATGAAACTAAATTGAAAATGTGTAATGGTGTAACAAAGTCTATGAAATTACACAGTTAAAGTAAAAAAGTATTTTGGTAAAGTACTTCTCAGGTAAGAGTAACTGTCTGGACATAACATCTGATTTATAATTTGAAGTTACTGTCCAAAATCTGTAATTTTCAAGGGATAGATGCAAAACGGATGGATGAGAAAAATTAAATCATATCTGGTGCAAGTGCGAGAAACACAAATGCTGAGATCAACATAAAACTTGTATCACTTGTGAACTTAGACACAAAGGAAAGAGTAACTAAAACTTTAGTAGTAAGAGCACTGTTACTTTCAATGAGAATATTATTCAAGTAGCAGTAAAAGTATCCTGCTAGAATTGTGCTTTTTTTCTTTTCATGTATGTAATAGTATTTTGATGCTGTACTATATTTCCTACAGTATCCTTTGCCCATGTGTGATCATGCCTAAAGACAACTCTGCAGCGCTGCAACAACTGGAGGCTCTTAATAGAAAGTATCAGGTATAAAATCCACCCAGAATATATAAAGTGATATTGATTGATTAATTATCTGTATTATAAGGCTGCTGTATGTCTGCTTGTGTCTTTAGACTGCACTGAATGAGCTGGTGGAGTCTGGCCGCTATGACACCCGCTCTGACTTCACTGTGGTGGTGCAGCCGTTCTTCAGGGAAATATTTGTCCCTAGACTCCCTGTAAGTCACAGCTACAGCATATTTAAAATCAATATGTTACTGTATTATGCATAGGGCTGCAGCCATTAATCGAAATAAGACTCGTTTAGCTGTCTTATGATAATTGTTAATCATTATCTGGAGCATAAACGGACTGTCACACATGCCATTTGCTGTCATAATAGTTTTTATCACAAAGATACTAACATTATTAAATCAAAATGAGACTGGAAGAATGTATTTTTTGTGATTGTTAATTTGTAAATATCAGTATACCCCCATTTGGCATGTATTAGCCTTAACTGGTTACTCTTACAAAATATCCAAGTTACATTAGACATTTTTTGGACTAGTCAACAACAACAACAAAAAAATCACTGACTCTTTAGTTTCAGTCCCAATTCGGCATCCAACATGAATGTGGTATAAATGTATAAATGTTTAGTTTCCCTTTTAGTTAAAACACACGAGACTAGGTAATCAAGAACATACATCTTACTCTACAAATTTTGATAATGTCATATTAATTTGTCTTGAGTATTTTGCATCTATCAGTTAGGACCACGTTGCTTATAGTCAGGCCTCCATTTCAAACAATTCACTTCTCACTGTTGCCAGCAGAGGGAGACACACATTTATATTATATTAATCTTTTAGTTGTGAGGCATGATATTTACCCTTAAACTAATCAAAACTATCATACACTTTCAGGATGGCCGCCCAGACCGTTCCTACTTCAGCGCCGACTGTTTTCATCTTAGTCAGAAATCCCAAACGCAGATGGCCCGGGCTCTGTGGAACAATATGGTACGACTACAATTTATTTAGTTTAATGCTATTGTTTCGCTTTTTTTGTAGTAGTAGTAGTAGAAAATAGTCAGCTTTCAATATTACTTTTTTCCAGTTGGAGCCACTGGGCAATAAAACCACCAAACACGATTTTGTAGCAGGAATTGAACTTAAATGTCCAACAAAGGTAAGAGGAAGCAAGAAATGAATAAATAAATACATAATTATAGAAATAAAAATAATAAATATAATACAAATAAAATACAAAAAAATATACAAAAATATTTAATTAGAAAAAAATGTATGTTTGATGGTAGTGATTAATTATATAAATAAATATTTTTCTGTAGACGTCACCATACATCAGGACATACAACAACAGTGACTACATGTACGCAGGCCCCCCGCCGACCCCTGATCCTATTACTGTAAGTATTATTATTTTCCTGGGAATGTTTTAGTCTGAAAAACGGGCTGAATCCTGTTTTATGTGAAATATGTGATCTTGAGATATTTTAGATATTTGCATTATTATTCAGAAGGGTGTAACTTTCCAGGGGAGACTTACTACAGAGCTTCAAGTTAGTAATAAGCCGCCTGTTCAAACTTGATTTTTTGATTTTTCTTTTTTATAGTTTAGTGGGGGGTTTTGTAACGTAAAGCATAAAAAACAACAATGTAATCATTTTATATTTATTAATAATTAGGGATGTAACGATATCCAAATTTCTCAGTATGATATTATCACGCATACGGACTGAACCAGAACTGATCCAGGACTAAACCAGGACTGAACCAGAATTGAACCAGGACTAAACAAGGACTGAACCAGGTCTGTCGGGACTTGCCTGGAGGTGCGCCCACGTAGACTTTCAGGTGATCAGGAAACCGGAACCAGAGTGGGACCAGTCCGGGACTAAGATCAGGACTGAGACCGGGACTCAGATTGGGACTAGACCAGGACATAGACCGGGACATAGACCGGACTGAGACCGGGACTGAGACCTGTTTTAGTCCTGGTTCAGTCCTGGTTCAGTCCGTATGCAGCATAAAAGTCCAGCATCACAGTTCAAGTCACGAAAATGGGAAACGGCTGTTATCCGTTTTTTCCGTTACTTATATAGATTCATTTCATGCCATATTGTGGAACATTTCAGTAAGAAAGTTAAATAGTGCAACAACAACAACCAGTTTCATCACAGAGTACAGCGTAGTCCTAAATAAAATGTGTATTTCAGCAGCATTTTAGGTATTTTCAAGGTTCATTATCTACTTAATTATCTATTATCTATTAACCACACAACAAAATCAGCCTGTTAAGATTTTACCTAACTTATCTCTATCCATTACAAGCATATACATGTTGTAATGCCACCTGATTATTTCATTACATCATTTTTATATTATAATTCCTGTTAATCTATTTTAAATCTCTTCTCTTTCCCGTCAGAATTGGGGTAGTGACTTCTCGTGCGTGGACCTTGCTCCATCTAACCCCGTGCCCACATCAGGTGAGACAATCTTTATGGTCTTTGTTCTACAGTGGCTGAATACTATCTATACTTTCTCATGATATCTGTGTTTGAAACTATAGTTCACAGACTCCGACCGGCAGACATCAAGGTGGTGGCCGCTCTCGGAGATTCTGTCACAGTAAGATCATGTTAATATTTATTACTATTATGAATGGGATAAGATCAAAATACACAAGGTACACAAGGTCTCACAAGATCAAAATACCATAAGATTATTGTATTGTAGTGTATTGTTTTGTTTTATATGCAGTGATGGAGGCAGTGTTTACCTCTTCTTAATGAACTGCACCCTTTTTCACGAGCCTTTCACCCTTAGTCACATAGATACCAGCAGCTCCCCCGTCTCTGCTGTTTTTGAGTTATTATAACCTGTTTAACTGTCAGATTGCAGCTTTGTTGACCTGGTTTATGATTAATATCTGTGTCATTACTGGGTCTATTCATATGGAAGCAAAAACTGGCACTTCTTTGTCAGCTTAAACAAACAAAAAATATGTATATTGAACAACCTATAACCAAAATATCTTAGGGTTATGGTTATGTTATATTATATCTGTCTGCTCTCCCCCTATTTATTTTGCACATGTGCTGAGGTCCGAGGGCCAGCTCCAGCTCGTGGTGCCTAAAACCAGATTTAAAACCGGGGGGGCAGGGCCTTATCTGTAGCCGGCCCCAAACTCTGAAACTCTCTTAAGACCCACTTTTATTCTCTTTTAATACCGCGTGAGAGTTGTGTGGTCCTCTGTGGTTTTTTTGTTTTGTTTTGGTTTGGTTTTTTTTTTTTTTTTTTATTTTATTTTTTTATTATTATTTTTTTATTCATTAATTAATTTAATTACATTTTTAAAAATGTATTTATGTATTGATTTTATTATTTTTGTTCATTGATTTTATTATTATTATATTATTTAATGATTCTATTAGTTTTGTCATGATTGAAACATAATTTTGCTGATTTTTTATTTTTATTTTTTTAAGTAAAATGTTTTACATTGCTATGTGAAGCACTTTGGAAACTGTCTTGTTTATAAAATGCTACAAAAAAGTTGGATTGGATTATTTTGCAGATGTATAGAAAAAATTGGGTTGTGAGTATGAAATATCGAGATTTTAATGCAACTATTACTTGTACTTGCTCAATATAGCCTGGTTTAGTGCTACTGAAATAAAGTGTGTGTGTGTGTGTGTGTGTGCATCATTACTGCCTCCTTAGTATTTCTATTACAGTTCTGTTATAAATTACACTAGAGGAGAACTTGTTTTAAACCTGTAATTTTTGTGCTTTCTATCATTATGTCCTTGAGCCAGACCCTTCACCCATATTCCACCCTTTTGTGTCCTCGTTTCACAGGCTGGAGTTGCCGCTAAGGCCAAGAACTTGTTCGACCTGAGTAAACAGTACAGAGGAGTGGCATGGAGGTAACATGAAAACAAAAAAAGACCTGTCTACTTTTGCAATTTTACAGTGTCACCATGACTTGTACTGTTTTGCAGCATTGGAGGAGATGCAAGTTTAGAGACCGTGACCACATTACCAAGTCAGTTTTTACTCCGAGCTATTTTATATTTTTTAGATTTGTCTATAAAGTTTTGCTATTCTAATTTGATTTGTGTTCCGCATTTTTAATAAAGGTTTGAATAATATTAAAAAAAACATTTATCTTTTTAGACATTTTAAGGAAGTTCAACCCAAACCTTCTGGGATTCTCCGTTGGACAACTGGCTCTGAAAAAAGGCTTCAACATGGCCCAACCTGGAGCTAAGTCTTTGTATGTAATGTTATCTAACTGCACAATCTAGGGGTGTAACAATAACCAAAATATTGTGATACTGTATTGTCAAAAGTCTCTCAGTAATATCGAGCGCCATCACAATATATCGAATCACAAGTTTATTTGCTTAAATTCATTGTTATGGTGCAGCAATAGCTAAAAAAAAAAAAAACAGAGGGAACTACATAGACCATGATCCTTTGCTCTGTTTTGGTGCAAACTAAATGAAGAAATAACAGTTCTAAGCACTTTTAAATCTTAGTTCTTTGTATTAAGTCTTGTCAAGGCATTTTCAAGAGGAAAAAGCAGCATATTCACAATTTTGTTGGCCTCCACAAAATATTGCAATAAATATCGTACCGTGAGATTTGGATATTTTTACATCCCTAGCACAATCTACTGATAAGGATTTATATATTTAATACAGTTTACTTACTTTTTTCTCACAGAGACATTCCAACACAAGCAGAAGCTCTGGTTAAGGCCCTCAAGAACAACAAGGTAACGTTGTAATCTCATCTATTGATATTAATATTATCTTTGTGTGTATTAAAGGGTCTGTATTACTCTAATTTCTGATCTGTTATAATCAATCCTCATCAAAAACATACCCGGAGTTGTGTTTTGTTTCATTCGTGTATGTTTGACACACAAATCCATATTTAGGCTGAGTTCTTCTCTCAAACAGAAAATGTGGTAATACAAGTGCTCCACTGTGTTTTTAAACTCCATATACCTTTACTAGAATCATTTGGATAATTTAAGACCTGGAATTGCCAATTTCTACTGAACTAAAAGTAAAAAGGAGCTGTAAACTTGAAAATTATCACTTCATGACATTACAGGGTTTGAACTTTGGAGATGTTGATAGTCTAATATTACTATTTGTTAAGTTCCGTGATCAATGTACAGAAGCAACCACATCATTTTTGTCATGAACAAAATATAAGTTTTCCTTCTTCCCACTCCTTTTTTGAAAAATGTGCTTTTCTGTTGTTTACAATGTGTATGTAATATACTGTATATGATTATTGTTTCTCTCTTGGCACAAACTCAAAATAAAAAAATCAAGCAATACAGGATTGTGTGAATGGAACAAAACACAACTCAAAGTATGTTTTTGAGGAGGTAACAGCATTTTGCACAACTTAAAGCTCACAGGAGTCAATTTTGTGTAATATAGGACCTTTAAGAAACCACCAATGTGTTGTATTTGATATACCACAGGAGGTGAATTTTGAACAAGACTGGAAGCTGGTGACGATATTTGTGGGGGATATGGATCTTTGTAACTACTGCTTCGATCAAGTAAGTCACAACAACAATAAAAGCCACTTCTACCAAATAATTACAGTTTTTAACATGTATTTTTACTTTGTTTCAACAGTACAACCTCACAGCCGAACATTTCAGCCGCAACATAGAGAAAAGTTTGGACATACTATATCAAAGTGTAAGTTAGATGTTATTATTCACCATGCTAAGTAATAATGTTAAAGATGCACTATGTAACTTTTAGGGTTTGTCTGCTTGTCTCCATGGTGATGTTATTGCTTTGCCTGTACTGTATTTTCCGCACTATTAGGCACTCTGGATTATAAGGCGCACTGTCATAGAATGGTCTATTTTTGAATTTTTTTCACATATAAACTGCACCGGACTTTAAACAAAACACAACAGTTGGATGGGTCAGTCGGACTTAGGTTGGTGCGTTCACGGTGACTCTGGGCTTTGTTCAGTTGTGGCGTGTAGGGAGGGTGCTGTCTGGGACCACTGGATTTTTGGCGTGTTCGCAGTGACTTGTTCAGTTGTGGCTAGAAGTGGCACATTGCACTCGCTTTTTCGGTTCGTTACTCCGTTCCATTCCTCGTTTGCATGGAGTGATGAGAGTGGCTGAGGGTGTTTTTCGCTGTGCGGTCGCTGTCTGCTCCGTGCGTGTTTGCGTGCGCTGCGGGTGGTGTGGCTTTGTAGTTTACTTAAGTCGTGCTGCGACACCCGAGTGGATTCGTGTATAGGGTGCTCTGGATTGTGGGGCGCGCAGCTGTTTTTTGATGGGGTTGGAAGCTTATGAGTGCGCCCAATAGCCCGGAAAATACGGTAATCTTATAGCCAGGCTGGCGCGACCTAGTGTCTCCGCTCAATTAAATTTTTCTCCAACGACTAGGTCAGGAATCAGAATACACTAAACGGTTTGCAAGAACTCCAGAAGTGTGAGTTCGGGCACCAGCCAATCAGCAAAGAGCCATACATTCTGTGTTCCCAATGTCGAGGATTTAAAGCTGGAACAAAGAGAATGTTTGGTGAATTTTATCAAGAGGAAAGACGTTATTGCCCTTCTTCCTTCGAGATTTGGGAAAAGCTTAATATACCAGTTAGCCCCGTTAGCGGCGCATTACATATGTCATGACCAAATAGCAGCGAATGGTTAAATGAAAAAAAGAAATAACCACCTACCGTCGAGCAAACAAATTCTAACGCTGCGAGGTTAGATGGTTTCTACGAAGTGAAACCAGCTGATGAATCAGGCTAGTAATCTTGTGCAAAATGGCATAAAATTTATCTAGCATTTATTTAATTACAGGTGTTTTTATTGTTAAAAAAGCACAGAAAAACCATTAATTCTTAATTCTATGAGCAGAATTGCGTCTCCACAAATCTGAGCTGTAACTTGAGCTAGAGAGAGTGAGAAAAGTTACACAGAGCGTCTTTAACTTCACCTTTAACTGAAAATGTGCTGATAGTTGTTCATGTCTCTAGGTCCCTCGTGTGTTGGTCAATGTCGTCCAAGTTTTGCAAATAGATCCAGTGAAAACAGTTCAGAGAAACACAATTGGCTGTGGCCTCCTGCAAAGGTATTTCATTTTTCTATAGAGACTCTGGTGTAATAAAATAAAGAAACTGCAAGATTAGGAGTATTTTTTTTCCCACAGAACGCAGTGCCCTTGTGTCATTAACCCCACCACAAACTCCCCCGAAATGGAAGAGATAAAACGGATAAATCATGAATACCAGGTAAGCTTCCCAAAGAGTAAAAGAGAAAAAAAGAGAAAAAGTAATTACATTATTGTTCCATTATTGTAATTTACTTTGTTGTACATTACTATGTTAATGTTTGGGTGGAAAAAATCAGAAAGAAATCAGATTAGTCACATCAGATGGAGCTCTGTAGTGGCAGTGGTTACATTCACACTCAATATCTGACCAGTTTTTTGGAATTATAAAGCATTAAATTACATCAAATTACAGCAAAATTAATTATGTCATTTAAAGGGCTATTTTTTATGTTTGTTATAATGTTGTTTCCTCATCAAAACATACCTGGAGTTGTGTTCTTGTTTCTAAAATCCATACACCTTCACTAGTATCATTTGGATAATTTCAGCGCAGAAATGTCCAATATCGACTAAACAAAGGGTAAAATGAGCTGTTGAAAACTACCGCTTTGTTACATCTCGAAGTGGAAGAGCATTTTGAGTTTTGAGTTTTAGATGTAGACAGAAAAATAATAAAGGATTACTCAGGTCTGTTTTTGAGGAGGAAACAATTTTCTAAGATGACTAAGAGCTCACAAGTCAATTCTGCATTTTTTTCTTCCATTTTCAGGCTGAACTTGAGTTTCTACTCTCTAGTGATCGATATGACGGGAAAGAGGACTTCGCTGTGGTCCTTCAGCCATTTTTACACAACTACTTTCTGCCACACATTGGAGTAAGGAGCATTTAAAACCAAAACTAAATGTAGTTATTGTGTAATCTGTCCCTGTATCTTGTTTACTCTCATCCGTTTTGCAGGAGGGAGAGGTGGACACCAGTTTCTATTCTCTGGACTGTTTCCATCTAAGTGACCGGGCGCAGGCGGAGATGGCCATAGCTCTGTGGAATAATATGGTAAGGTTTAAAAATACAAAACAAAACAAAACAAAAAATCAGTGTATTATTTGTTTTTCAATATAAACCAAAAATAAGAAAATGAAAAGACAACAATTTTTTTCATTATTTGTCTCCAAAACCAAAATTAAAACATGGATAATGATTCTGAAATTATTTTTTCAGTTTTCATTTTTGTGTTTAAATTAATAATGGAAAAATCGGATAACGGCCGTTTCCCGTTTATGTGACTTAAACTGAGATGCCGGACTGAACCAGGACTAAACTGGTCTCAGGCCTGGTCTCGGTCCCAGTCTCAGTTCTGGTCTGGTCTCAGTCGGGTCCGGGTCTCAGTCCCGGTCTCAGGTCTGATCCTGGTCCTGATCCTGGTCCTGGTCTGGTCCCGGTCTCAGTCCTAGTTTAGACCTGGTTTAGACCTGGTTTAGTCCTGGTTCAGTCCTGGTTTAGTCCTGAGTCAGTCCTGGTTTAGTTTTGTTTCAGTCCTGGCTCAGTCCTGGTTCAGTCCTGGTTCAGTCCTGGTTCAGTCCTGGTTCAATTCTGGTTCAGTCCATCATCACAGTTTAAGTCAAGTCAGTTTTTTCCATTTTTCATTTAAACACAAAATTGAAAATTGAAAAAACAAGTCGTTATCCATTTTTTCATTTTGGTTTTGGAGACAAATAAAGCAGAAAATAGTCTTTTTTTTTCATTTTCTTATTTTTGTTTTTATTTTGGTAAAACAAATGAATGAATGATACACGGATTTTTTAAAAAAAGCATCAAGATGAATGTTGTATTTAATATCATCTGAAACTTTGACAGCTGGAGCCAGTGGGAAGGAAGACAGCATTTAACAACTACACTTACGACCGCTCCAAGCTCCACTGTCCCTCGCAGGTAAGAATAAGTTTACTCCTATAGATACTTTCACTAGCAAGGCCCACGCCAACAACGACATAGCGCGAAGAAGTTTATTGATAATGTACGAGGCGGGCGGAGATGGCTGGGTTGAGGCTCTGGGTGGGGGCTTCGTCTCAATCGGGGCTCCCCTCGTAGGTGTTTTATAGCTGAAAGACGAACAAGACAAGGGGTGGGAGAGTGGGGTCGAGCTGAGACAAACTGGGATGATGGGAAAGGCTGCTACAAATAGGCTTTTGGGAAATTAGAGGTGTGGTCAAAGTGAGTTGTGGTTCGTTGGCGAGGAGGAGAGGGCGGTTGAGGCGTGGTCCTGCTCCTGAATCTCAGTTAAGTCTCAGATAATTGGTAATATTCATCTGCATAATAGACTTTAAAGCCAAGAAAAACACCCAATATATAGTAATAATAGTAGTAGTTTTAAAAGGTTTGTCTTTAAAGTTATCAGGAGAAACTGAAACAAAGGTTAAACTGGCACTTACAGCAGTTAGATGCAATGAGACAACTGTACATAATTTTTGTTAGAGAGAAGCAAGTGTAGCAGGCTGACAGTGGCAATGTTCACATGCACATTTTTGGATGATTCAGCTGTTTACTTGTCATTTTAATAATTATATAATTCAACAATGTGATAATAATCAGATTTTGAGTGTGCATGTAGCCACAGACAGTAATCGTGATCTGATTTCTGGACTGAATATGATGAAAAAATTTGAAAAATAGATGAAAAGAGTTATTTTAAAATTAATTATTCTTTGTCTTCCAAATACAACAATCAAGTCACCAGATATTTTTCATTATCTGATTTTTTGCATGTAAACACACACCAAAAATCACATCGACATCTAATTATTGGGTTATCCCATTATTCTAGTTATCTGATTTTGACTGGCCATGTAAATGATGGACAGTTGTAAAATGTTGTGCCTCCACTCAATTTCATTTCTCTCCAGAGACTAGGTCAGGAATCTGAATACACTGGACGGTTCGCAAAAATCTTGGAAGTGCGAGTTCAAGCACCAGCCAGTTGGCAAAGAGCCATATATTCTGTTCTGGCAACTATTCCCTGAGATCAAGGATTTAAAGCCGGAACAAAGAGAATGTTTGGTGAATTTTATCAAGAGGAAAGACGTTATTGCCCTTCTTCCTATGGGATTTGGGAAAAGCTTAATATACCAGTTAGTCCCGTTAGTGGTGCATTACATATGTCACAACGAAATAGCAGCGATTGGATAAATTAAAAAAAGTACCCGCCTACCATTGAGCGAACAAATACTAATGCTGGGAGGTCAGACGGTTTCCACGAAGTGAAATCAGCTGATGAATCAGGCTAATAGAATCTGGCAATGGTTCAAAATACGTTCTAACTTTAATTTAGTGAAACTCTTGCTTTGATTTACATTGACACAATAACATGATTATCTTCCTCACTCTCCTCGCAGACCAACCCCTTCATCTTCACCAAAATGAACAGTTTACCAGAGGTTACCACCACCCCACCTCCCACTGTGTCCCAGAGCACAGTCTCCCCCTCCACAGACCCCACGCCTTCTGTGACGGGACCCCAGCCGCTGTGCTCCCCCGAGTTGCCCGTGTGGGTCCCCGTGCTGGCCGCCGTCGGGAGTCTGCTGGTCGGGTTTGTGGTCTCCTGGGTAGTTTGTTCATATATAAAGAAAAGCAAAAATGTGAATATGAAAGGAACCAGTTTTTAGATATCAGTCTTTATAGAAACACAGTAAAAATGTTCTCTCACTCAGTTTGTATTTATAAAAAAATATTCTGTTTTATATGTTTGTCATGATATATCTGTATTTATAGACAAAAATACATTAAAAAACTTTCAAAATGTGGCTGAGTTATTGAAAAAAGACAATTGTTTTAGAATAGTTTATGGTTGAATAAGGTTGAATCTTGAAAAGGCATTGATAGACAAATTCTGATTAGATGTTTTAATATTTTAACGTATTGCTGTTTAAGAAATTAGGAATCTAAACTATTTGGTATTAGATTTGACGACAATTCATACATCCAAGCTGCGAAACATATTTGACCAAACTTTTGTCCAGTTGACCAATTTAATTTCTCCTTTGTCATGGATTCTACCTGGACAACTAAGGGATTTTACATACATTACCGGTCAAAAGTTTTTAGAACACCCTATTTTTTCCAGTTATTTATTGCAATTCAAGTTGTGAAAGTCCAATGAAGAGCTTGAAATGGTACAAAGGTAAGAACTGGTCAGAAGTTAAAAAAAAGATAAAAGATACAAAACACAAGTCCAAGCTCTGCCAAAACTACCTCAGGAAAAAAAGAACAAGATGGTAAAGCTTGAAAACATGGAGTGTCCAGCACAGTCTACAGATTTAAACCCCATCGAGCTGGTTTGGGATGAACTGGACAGAAGAGTGAAAGCCAAAAAACCTACAAGTGCCACACATTTATTGGGAACTTCTGCAACAGACTTGGGAAGAACTTTAAGAATATTTGATTTCTATTGTCAAAAGAACAAGCCACGAGTGAGTTCAGCTGTTATATCTGCCAAAGGTGGACACTTTCATGAATCAAAAGTTTAGAATATGTTTTGGTCAACACTATGCGTTAAAAAAACTGGAAAAACTTTTGACTGGCAGTGTATATTAGATCTGATGCCTGTCATAATAAATAAAATAATTAACTGTATCTCTAAACCTAAATGAGTTGAAGTGGGTCAAACATAGTGGACTGAAAGCAGGATTTTTGGGTAGAAAAACGTATTTCACATAAAAGACAAAGCCCAAAATGATTGTGTTAGTTTTAGATTTAATAATAAAATTCAAATCAACAATATATAGGAACAAATACTCCATAAACCCATGTACAAAATAGTAATATAATATGGCACATAATATTTTCATCATTAATTTCTTGAAAACAGTTGTAGTGTGTTACCGTATACAGTTACATCCAGTGACATTGGAACCTCTGATAAATTCTAGGGCAATGTAGTAACTGCAGGCAAGGCGTTTGTCAGTATTGTCAAAAATAATTATATTCCAAAGTATAATTTATTAGTAGCATTATTAACCAAAGATTTATTTGTTTAATGATATGTTAAATCTGACGTTGCCAGTATATGTCAAGGGCACATCTGTGAGTGTTACTACATGAGAGCCTGTAGTACTGACTGAGGTACTCGGCTGGTGTAATACTGGTGGTTTCTGAGAGTGGCCAGGACTCCGGCTGAGTTCATGTGTTTCACGTCTGCATCGTAAGTGTACGGGTTTCCATGGACATCTGTAAGTTTACCTGCAAAGTACAAGTTAATTTTAGGATAGAAAGAACAGAAGGGAAAGACAGAGATGTAAGCAGAGGGGAATGGAAAAGAAGATTAGAGATTAGATTAGAAAACAGTGCATATTTTAGTGCATATTTTTGCTACTGGTTTTAGTATTGATAGTATAGGGCAGGGGTGTCAGACTCAATTTCACAGAGGGCCAAAATTAAAAACTGTGACTAAGTTGTGGACCAAATTAAATATTTATTGAAAAATGTTTCTCTTCTTGTAATGTAATGTTAAACCTTTTCTTATTAATAATAAATGTTTAATAATAGTTTTGCTTAAACATTGAATCCAGAACAAGCATTAAATAAAATATAAATAAATACTGTATGTATAACCTATCTGTAGCTGGCGGGCAGCTCTAATACACATTTGATATGATCTCACAGGCCAAATATGATTATATGAAAGGCTAAATTTGGTCCCTGGGCCTGAGTTTGACATGTCTGCTATAGGGTGACCAGAAGTCTCTATTTACCCGGGAAGGTTCCAGTTTTGAGCCTTGTATGCACTGTACCAGCAGATTTACCCCAAACCAGTGATTTGTCCCAGTTTTATAAAAGAAATGTCCCAGGTGTCCCTATTTTTGATACCTTCTCACAGTAAAGAGAGGCATACATTGTCATTTGTTGAGGTAAAATACAGGAAAGCTACTTAAAATGACCAAAACACAAAGAAATTGTGACTTTACCGACTCACATTATTGCCGATTGCATAACAATTTCCCTTAATTACGCACTCGTTTCATAGTTTTATTATTACCAACCCAAACCAAGGATGTCCCAGTTTTTTATTTAGAAAACTTGGTCACCCTAGATTAGTATCCGAGTTTTTTTGACACTTTTGACAACCCTAATTAGTAATGACACTTGTGTAATGCTAACTGTAGGCTCTGTGTGTGAGGCTGTGTTTAATTTTAACACAATCTGCCAGTAAACAAGAGATATACAGACGATTTATGCTTGTATTATTAAGCAGGTTGTTGTAAGAGCAGAGGATGCAGTGGGAATGGCCAAAATGAGAAAACATGACAGCAGCATGACAATTCCTGTATAAGCATAGACTAGAATACCTCCAACAGCATGCAGGATTGCCTCGGGTGCACACGTGTCCCACTTTTTGCAGCCAGGACTAGCAAACACATACGCCGACGCCTTGCCTTCAATGAGCTGGATGATCTATGACATGATATCAGCAAAGAAATACAATCACAAAGGGCATTTTTAACATCATACATTACATTATATGGACCCAGTCAGTTTCGTAATAACAACAAAATATCTCAAATGCTCAGTTTTGGAGCTCTGTGGGTGAAAGAACTCAACTGCAGGGCTCAGTTTGTAGCTGCAAGAAAATTAGTAATGCTCTTTTGTGCTTGTCGCTCTATTCATGCCGTTGTGCGTCATCACTCTGCAGGCGTTTTGCACTCAAGCGGAAAGTAAACATCATGTGAATAAAGTATTGAATGAAATGTTTAAACAACTTAAAAACTTAAAAGGTCCCATTTTACTTGCGTGAGTGAAGTGAATTTAGAGTGCTGTTACCGCAACAAAAACACACCTGGAGTTGTGGTTTGTTACATTCACACGTTTGAGTAAGTCTTTTTTTTAGTCTGTCCACATCTCCAAAGCTCAAAATGTTCTGTTCTATCTTGTAAAGTCATGAAGTGGTAGCTCTCCAGTTAATAGTTACCAAATTATTTTGTTCACTAGAAATTTACAATTCCAGGGCTGAAGTTATCCAAATGATTGCAGTGGAGGAGTATGGAGTGGATTATTTTCTGTTTTACCATATGACACCACGAGGTATTTCAAGAAGTGTTTTTGTTGTTTGAGGGCAAATCTCGCAGGATTTGTGTTAAATGTGTGAATGAAACAAAACAACTCCAGGTATAGATTTGATGAGGAAACAACATTATAACACAGATCAGAAAACAGAGTAATATGAGCCCTTTAAGACTCACTTGGACACTTGGACAACTGTTTACAGCTTAAAATCTTGTGTATGGATTCAAAACAAGGCTACAAACAATAGCCGTTAGATTCAGACCTGAGTTTAGGCAGAACAAAGGAACTAAAGAAGCTTCAAATACATACATCAGAGTCCTGCACCGGGTCGGGTACTCACGGATACTTGCCGGATACGGGCAAATAGTTGCGGAAACGGGCGGGTTTTAACGTTCTGGAATTTTTTTGGCGGGTATGTGGGCGCGAAGTAATTACACACAGGCAGATCAGGAGTAAATCAGGACTACAGCAGGACTACAGCAGGACTACAGCAGGACTACAGCAGGACTACAGCAGGACTAATCTTGGACTTAAGAGAGACAGAACCCTGAGCCCATGGTGCAGAGTGTCCACAAAGGGCGATCGGGCGACGGCTGCGCTTAACTTTGTGGGGCACGGAGCTCTGCACCAGTCTTTTCGCCTGCGGTCACCCGACAGTCTATACGGGTGCAATTCTGAGCCCATCCAGACAGTGAGTCCTGGTTAATTTCTGGTTCAGTCCTCCTGGTTCAGTCCTCCTGGTTCAGTCCTCCTGGTTCAGTCCTCCTGGTTCAGTCCTCCTGGTTCAGTCCTCCTGGTTCAGTCCTCCTGGTTCAGTCCTCCTGGTTCAGTCCTCCTGGTTCAGTCCTCCTGGTTCAGTCCTCCTGGTTCAGTCCTCCTGGTTCAGTCCTGGTTCAGTCCTGTGGCGTGTTTCTTCAGCTAATGCCTGTGAAGTGATGACAGTCAAGTCGCGTCTGTGAATTTGTGTCCGTACGGAGGAAAGTGTAACCGTTTCATTTCATTTCGTGATTGTAATTCTTGAAGTTGTAACTTTTCAATTCATATTCTGATGGTGCTTTAGTTAGAATGCTTTTAATTTGTGTGTGGTTTATCACAAGCACGGGTGGGTAACGGGTGTAATGTTAACGGGTCCGGGCAGGTGCGGGTATAACTTTGATATAATGAAAGGTTAATGTGCGGGTGCAGGTCTCCAAAAACAGACCCGTGCAGGACTCTGACATACATACATACAGTACATACATACATACATAGTCCCCTCACTCACCTTGTTTCCGGCTCCACCCACTCTGACCACCTCGTGTGGCTCCATGGCGTCCACACAGTCCGTCACCACCTTGTTGCTATGGGACCTCGTCGTTGTGACAATTCGCCTGTCTCCAGGGACTTCTTTCAGCTCGAACCCAAACGCACCCAGTCCCAGCACACCCCAGATGGTCCGGCCCAGAACTGCGCCTGCTCCCAGCTGACAGAGAACAAATGTTTTAATGATTCATCACTAAACCTGTAATATTCTGCTGTCATTTTATGGTCTGTCACTTTTTGATACAGTATTTTTTTGTAGTAGTAGTAGTTTATTCGGTCATTTTACAGCACTATAACACATAGACTACAATTCCTTAGATCATGACCAAAAGGGTTTAGGTTGAAGTAAAAAAGTACTTATAATGCCAAACCCTATTGAACAATGACAGAATTCTAAGAAAAAAAACAGCGTATGAACAGCAAGTTTACATTTACAATTTCACTTACAACTTGCTGTATGTATAAGAAACAAAATATAAATTAAAACAAACTAAATTTTATGCATAATTCATTCATTCCAGAGCTCTATATCTTTTAAAACATAATGCTTTATACTAAAGACTTTTACAGCGTTAGACTTATTAAAATCATCACTCAGATTTTTCTACATACTAACCCCTCTAATAGAAATAAAATCACTTTTTTTCTTAGTTCTTATCTTCATTTTTTAAAAGACACTTTTTCCTTTAAGGTTATACTAACTCTCTCTCTGCTCAAAAAAATTATTTATAAATTCTATAAATAATGTTCAGTTTTTGTGCTTTTGCAAATGTAATTAATTAACCAGGGAAACATAAGTCTAAAACAATGGTGGCTAACATTGCTTTTTTTTTTTTAATAATCGAGAGGACAGCACAGTCACAGTCTGTCACAGTCATCTCTAGTATCCAAGCACCACACATTAAACTTAGGTAAGCAAAATTCTGGACTTTTTTATGAATTGTACAACGATATTCAACAGCAAATGTCTTCCACTAATGAAATGTGCCAGATGTAAGTGGCTGTAATTGTACTGGTAAAAAAACTGAACCCTGACCCTCCTACATTTGAAACGAAAGTAGGAGGAGCTGGTTTGCCAGATTAAGAGTGTGCATTCAAGCCTATTATTTACACCTGGTAGTTGTAGAAAGGTTGGTTGATGACGCCTGCAATGGCCCGTCCCCTGTGAGCAATACCGATAAGAACTGTCACATTATCCAACAGCCCTGAAATGACAAATATAAAAAAATTGTTAGATGTTAGACACAAATCTGCTGTAGATTCACATAGAGTAAACACATGCTAGGATGAACTGCATGCATTTTGGGTTAGAATGCTACTGTTTTCTGGTTAATCAAATGTCTGGGCCTTAGTTGGTCACCCATACAGAGAGCAGCAGTGTGAAGCGGCGGATTGTCCAACAGTGTGAAGGGGGGCCGGGGGCTGTGTGTGCAGATGCATGCGCCTGGAGGCTGAAGGTAGAACAGAGAGGAGCACAGAGAGACAGAAGGAGACAAGAACGCACAGCCAGAGATATTTTAGATCTGCACTGTCAAGTTATAAGAGTTCATTGTCATTTCAGGTTTAATACTACATTATTTGACTGACTGACTACCCAAGTTATATTTTAATAAAATGCCTTCATTGTTTGATAAATATACACTGAAAAATTAAAACTTATTTATGAACCAGGAATGTCAAGATTGTTGACAAACACATTCCATACATGTGTAAAGTTGACATTAATCGGTCAAATGATAATTGCAAGAGCTAAAACATAGTAATTGCGAGTTTTAGAAGCAAAATTAAGCCATTTCCATTCAATCAACACTCCAAAAAATCCAAATTCATCCAGAAAAGTTTGAATTTCATAAACGGTCACAAAAATTGATATTTTGACATCCCTACTGCATACACATAATTGTAGTGTATTAATAGGCCTATGTTATAATGTTTTTTTCTCATCAAAAATGACCGGAGTTGTGTTTTGTTTCATTCACAGATGCGCAACACACAAACGATGCATATTTAGCCTCAGTTCATCTTTCAAACTCAAAACACACCTTGTGATTTCATGTAGTTATACAGAAAGTGCTCCAGTGTGTTTTAAAATTCCCTACACCTTCATTTCATTCATTTGGATTACTTCAGTCCTGGAAGTGCAAATCTCTACTGAACTAAAGGTAAAAGGTAGCTCTTAACTTGAAAACTACTAAGATGTAGACAGTCTAATAATAAAAGGTTACTCAAACATGTGTGAATAAAACAAAACAGAACTCTGGGTTTGTTTGTAATAAGGCAACTATATTATACTGTGTAAAAGTTCACGAGAATCCATTTTGTATAATATATGTAGGGCTGTCGCGGTTCAAGACTTTCCCTTGTGGTAACTTTACGTGTCTCTGGTATAGCAAGCAAGCACCTGTCTGGGTCCCTTTTTGTGGAACAGCACAACAGTAAACAAAGCTGTCGAGATGGATGTAGACAAAGACATACATTCTGTGTTGGCAACGATTCCCGAGATCGAGGATTTAAGGTCGGAACAAAGAGAATGTTTGGTGAATTTTTCAAAGGGAAAGACATTATTGCCCTTCTTCCTACGGGATTTGGCGCATTACATACATCACGACCAAATATTTTTGGTTAAATAAAAAAAGTACCCGCCTACTGTTGAGCGAACAAATCCTAATGCTGCGAGGTCAGACGGTTTCCACGAAGAGAAACCGATTGGTGAATCAGGTTAATAGCACAGAGGCCCATAATAATACATTACATTGGGGATGTATTTGAAAAACATCTATATAAAACCACAGCCAAGCCTAAGTGACAGACACATGCATGTTCAGGTGTAGCATAATGTAGTTTTACAGACAAGTTACAAAAATATATTATTAGGATGCTCAAGTGAGTAATATATCGCACACCCACGGTAAACCCCCCACAGAGGTGCCTGCAGGGGCACGTCTGTACACACTGTGCGTACCTTGAATGTCCCCATTGAATCAAAATGGATGTCCCAATTTAGCCATGGAGGAGTGCCACACCAGTTAAGCGTGTTAACTGTTAACTTTTGTATTTGCGTATATTTGATGACCAGCTGCAGTGGTGAGCAACACATTAGTTTTAAAGTGCACAAATTCGGGTCAGGTCCAAGTATTTGAACCCATTTGCTTAGAGCCACATAAACATGAATTGGTTCATATTAGAATAGCAAAATCCTGCCGAGCGTGTGCATGAAGCCTCATTAAAATGCAAAATGCTTACCGCGGTCACCTGAACCCTCGGGCGCTGTGATTGATCACACTGTATTATTGCAATAATGTGGTTACCGCGACAGCCCTAAATATAAGACCTTTAATGATAAACAATGTACAGTATATTTATATATTAATAGAAAACACGTAATTCATAATAGCTGCTATGGAATAAATGTACCTTCTGTGTATTCCTTTGTTCCATCAAGAGGGTCCACCCACACCACGAGCTGAGAACAACAGACACAGGTTATGGTCAACATCTCTCTACACTGAAAATGTTGTAAACACATTTCATTTCCAAAGAGGACTTATATAACTCCCTTTTGCAAATCCAGTTATACAATTATTATTATTATTTTAAAGCACATGTGGTTACCTCCTCCTCTTTCAGATCAGAAAATTCAGCTGGACATGTTTTCTGGAAGATCTCCTCTGCCTGACCACTCTCTATGAGGTCTTCCTTCACCTCTTCTGCGGGGAGATCCTGTTTAACAAACAAGCAGCAGGTGATTAAAGAATACACTTGTTATAATGTTAACTCCTCAAAAATATACCAGAGTTGTGTTTTGTTATTAGTTTGTCTACATCTCTGAAGCTCAGAATGCTCTGTCCCACCCTGTGATGTCATGAAAAGGTAATTTTGAACAGCTAACTTTATCTTTAGTTCAATAGAGATTCAGCAGTTCCAGAGGTGAAATTATCCAAATAATTCCAGTGAAGGTGTATGGAGTTTACAAACATAGTGGAGCACTTCCTGTATTACTACATGGCATCACAAAGTGGAACAGTGTGTTTTTTGTTTGAGAAAAGAACTTAGCCTAAATATGTAGGAGTGTTAAACATGTGTGAATGCAACAAAAGCCAACTCCAGGTATGTTTTTGATGAGGAAACAACATTATAACATAAATCAGAAAATAGCATGATATGGTCCGTTTAATTAAATTGTTCATGATAGTTGAGACTAAAAATGTCAGTATTAATCACACACTACAAGATACACTGCATCAAACTTCAAATCTAACACACTTTAGTCTGTAGTCTACAAGATACACACACCTCCTCTCCAATGATGGTGATTTTTGGGAAGCGCTTGGACAGAGACGCACAAATGCTCTGCTGTGCCAGTCTGTCTGCCAGAGTCTGTAGATCATTGGCACCTGTCTTGACCATATAAGAGGATGTTTAGTATCAACTCTGACTTAAACCATGTAAAAGAAAAACACATTTATTTAAGACCATAGTGATAACACACTGGGACATTTTTAACAGTGCAATATCCCAAAGTAAAATGCTCTCACTTTCTCCACAATGCCCAGATCCCCAGTATGCAGGACCTTCCTCACGATGGACCCCGCCTTCTCTGCCACACAGTAGGCCGAGGCCACTAGCCGCATCACTACAGGAGGAGCTCCGGACATGTCTGAAATCACACCAGAATAATTCACAACACTTGAGAACAGCAAAACCAGGGGGCAGAAATGTGGGCACGACCAGGACAATTGGTTTGATATTTGATATTGGATATTCGACACATTCAAAGACAGTCATTTAACTTGTAATGTATATCACAGATTTTGTTCAAACAACTTGTGACATGTCTTCATAATCATCCAGGGTATATATCACAAGACAATAATTATGAAAAAAAAAAAAAAAAAAAAACATTGACCATTGTTGATTTTTCTTTCCTTAGCAGTACAATAATTTTGTCCACGTCTGTACATCATTAAATAAGTGTTGACTTTACAGTTAAGTATGATTTTTAAAATAATTACTACCTTGTGATATATACCCTGGATGATTATGAAGACATCACAAGTTGTTTGAAAAAATCAGTGATATGTAGCATAAGTTAAATGTCTTTGAATGTATTGCATATCCCAAATATCCAGTATCAAAACAATGCAACAGCGGTCTGAACAAAAACTGTAGCGCCTCAAGTAAAGATTCACTTACAATTATGGTGATTAGAATTACGCTAACCTCAAAAACAGATACAATGCATATCAGTAGAGCGCTTGTATAAATACGTAAGGATATTAGGCAAGCATGACATGACAAACACTTATCAATGAAAAAAAAAATAGTAACCTATAAATATTTTGAAAACAAGCGATCGCATTGTACAGAAAGAAAGATCTGTTTACCTAAGAGTGAAATGAGATAGAAAAGTCATACTTACTGGTTAAATATTTAGTTATTCGCCTGAAGCAGCTCACTCCTGGACTGGTTCAATCTTAATGATCAATGGGTTGAATTCACTTCCGTATGATGAATCGAAGAAAAAGAGAGTGTCAAGATAACTAAGTTCTCTTCGAATCGGTTTTAGGCAATTTAAGAGCTTCTGTGCGTAAAGTTGAAGACTCCAGGTTTATATTATCACAAAACTAAGACGTAAAATAAAAGTAAAATGTGTTGGAGCATGTATTTTTGCTCTTTTTCCCCCAAACCACTTCCGCGTTATGGAAACAAAACGCCGGAAATAAGTATTAACTCTTTTTATTTTATTATCTCCACGTCCGGATAAACAAAAAAAGAGTTATGGTTATTACAAAATAATTTAAATTTAAGTTTTACTTTCTACAGTTAATTTACTAAGACAGAGACAAACATAAACCGATCTTCTGAAAGTGAGTAATAATAGTAATAAAACTATGATATGTGTTTGCCTACTTTCTTTTATTTCTAATTTTTAGTTGTGCAGAAAGTAAAGACATAAAATAAAAATAGCATTTCTGTCAGAATTGGTGACCTGTCTTTATTTAGTTGCCTCATTGTTCTGTGCCGCAGGACTTCATTCTGGGGCCCATGTTATATTCTGTCTCTATGTTGCCCCTGGGGTCAATTATTGCAAGGCACAGGCTTTTCATTGTTATGCAGATGACTTGTAGATTTATTTACCTTTATATCTAGACAAAAGTGGTGCTCTTAAATCTGTACTTGACTGTTACATACAAAAAGATGTGGTTGGAACAGAATTTCCTTGATGAGCACAAAACAGAATATATTTTATTTGGTGATTCCTTTTCCTCAGATTTTGGTTGGTTATCGTCCAAGTTAAAATCAATTGTGGGGAACCTCAGAGTCATTTTTGATAGTAATTTTTGTTTAGCAAACAAATCGACAGTGTGTTGGGATAAAGTTTTTATCAACAACGTCTTTTATAGAAAGTAAAGTCATCTTAAAATTGCACCAACCTTGAAAAGACTATTCCTGCTTTTACCAGTTCCAGAATAGATTATTGTAATGCCCTTTATGTGGGTCAGTCCTCAGTTGCCTCAAACTCGTGCAGAACACTGCAGCACATTTTTTTTAACCAATGCCCCCAGATGTCTGCACATCACCCCAGTCCTTTTATCTTTCCATCAGCTTACAGTTTCTTTTTCTTAGAATTGAAAATTATAATTACAATTGAAAATTGTATTATTTGTTTTTAAAGCTCCTCCCTATTTGACTGAGCTTTTGTCTGTCCACTGCTCAATAGGGCATTAAAGTCAAGCAACCAGCTTCCACTGGAAGTCCCCAGAGCCAGACTCAAACACTGGAGTAACCAGGATTTTCTCTGTCGCTCGTCCCAGACTCTGGAACTGTTCCTCGATATGCACAGTATGACTTTGGCCTGTTTAAGTCCAGGCTCAAAACTCATCTATTCAGACTGATTTTTAACACTCAATAATGCAGTGACTCTTTGCACAATTAGTTTTATTAAACTGTTTAATGTTTTGATATTGTGTTGGTTTAATTGGAAAGCAGTTTGGTCACCTTCAGTGTTGTAAAGGTTTTGATTGATTATGATTATGAATATTTAGATACTAGAATTAAACCCAAACTGGCAGAAAATCCAAAACCTATAGGAACTATAATAGCGAGCGCAATAATAGCTCCAGTTGAGAGAGGTTCTTTTCTAGGGGGAGCTGTAAAGGATAAATAATAGTTATAATTAGTAGTCAAATTTTGTTCAAAAATAATTTTACTTACATGGACTTACATGTGACACAGATGCATGCAGACTGGGATGTCTCAGAGACCATGGTGTGTCTGTTGAAGGCATGACAAGTGTAATTCCTACTTCCTCTCGGCATGATTGGCCATATTTCTAGTACTGGTTCACGACCAACAATATAAGTCTCATTTAAATACAACGTGATCTCTGCTGGAGGGCTGGAGTCAACTAGTACAGCATGACCGTAGCTCCCTCGAGGTAGTAGTTCTTTTTGGGAATAGTCTTGACAGTTGACTTACCTGGACCATCTGAAAAATAGTGAGTTTATATAGGTTGGATTGTAGTGTAAAGAGAAAATGTTCTTGTTTCGCATAGTCCTAGTTTTTATAGACATCTTCATCTGGACATGAACACACAAGAATCACTATTTATGTCTGCTGCTCACCACTAATAAAAAATAACCTTGTCTTTTAAACATTTTAAAAGACAAAAGTCTTTTAAAATGTTGCACAGGGATTTAGCAGTTACTCTGCAGGAGTAGATAATATGTGTCTGTCTTCCTCAGGGACCAAACAACAGTACAGCTTGGACCAGCAAACCTGCGGTTGATGGGTGCATGTTCAACCTACTGCACCACTGCCACATTTGATCAAAATGTGTAAAGTTAGTTTTTTACTGCTGTCAAATAGATCTTCAATTGAAAGACTTACAGAAAACAGTCATGAAGACGTCTCTGCTGACTTCTTTATTAATGGGATTAGACACCTCACATCGGATGGGTCCTGTGTCGTAGCGTGTCAGAGGAGAGATGGAGAGGACTGGTGAGTGGGTGGGGAGGGGGAGGCTGCTGTTGTACCAAGTAAATTGGAGGTTGAAGTCAAAGTCTTTGAACTGAACTTCAAAAAAGATGTCTAGATTATGTAGGCTGCTTTTAATAATTAAATAATAAATTAAAATAGTAGATTATTAATAATGCAAGTACTTAATAATGATTTGTTTATATTTATTGTATTTAAACCCACCAGACTACATTTCATTGTGTTTTTTTTTTTTTTCTGTCCTCCTTTGTAATCATCATTTTAGGACAAATTAGTAACAATTATTTCCACAGTTCATCAACAACGTGAGCGAAGACAATGAAACGTGAATTAAAAGCACTTTGCAGTATTTATTTGTAAGATATTTACATCAACTCCACCCCTGAAACCAGCCACTAGAGTTGGCAGTGAGAGTTTAGCGTCTTGCCCTGCGACACAACAACAGCAGGGATGCACTCTGGTTAGTGGGCAAAGGTTTAGCTGACTGCACTACTGTTGTTCTTTAATAAATATCAACAGCAACCCAAATATCATAATCTAAAAGACTGTATTAAAGTTATTCATCTATTTGCCAGTGGTCTGTATCCCATCTCTCCTTCCAGTTGCTCTGCCGTGAGGGAGCCTAGCAGCGGCTGACAGTCTGGGTTAAAGACAGAATAAGCACTAAGTTCTCCGGGCTGCCGTGCCCCCGGGCTCCTCAGTCCTTCATAAATCCAGTAAAAAAGAGAGATGACGAAGAAGGGCAAGCCAAACTCCAGCTCAGCAAACAGACCAAGCAGAACCAACCACAGGAGAAGTTTGAGCAGCGTCAGGTTTGTAAAGGCCAGTCTGGAGCTCAGCCATCGCCCCACTGCAGTGTCCAGCAGCCAGTCACTTTTGTCCTGCAAGAAAGTATGAGTTAGTGTTGTCAGGTTGCTAACATTTCAGAGAGAGAGAGAGATACTTTATTGATCCCTAGAGTAGAATGTTTTGCTGCGACATCATTTAGACAGATATGTGTTATTAATCCTGAGGGAAATTCAAGTGTTGCTGCAACATTTCTACTGTACGTCTCGCCTTTGTGTCAAGCAAGTAGTCAAAGGTCTCAGTGCAGTTTAATACCCTTCCTAGCCTCTTACATGTTCTCCTTGGATCTGGGAAAAAATAACAGTTCATTTCACACAATCTGCTCAAACAGTGAGAGATACAGGATTACATTTACACCTTACTTAATCCATACAACTGTACAGCAACTCACACTTATGTAATTGATAACCCTATGTCCTGCCAATCATCATATCACTGTTGTTGTCTTCCTATGACCTCTTGTATTTTATATTTTAATACTTAAACTTCTATTTTATTTTTACTGTATATTTACATTTATATAATTATGTCTTATTTGACATGTGTCTCTTGCTATCTTTTTTGCTACTTATTTAGAGTTTATTGTTGCCATTTGCATTTTCGCTCTTTGTTATTATATTTATTGTGATGTGTGAGCTACTGAGTCCAAATGATTCCCTTGTGGATAAATAAAGTTTGTCTAATCCAGTCTAATCCATCAGTCCCTTGTGTTCATTCCCTCAAAGATTTTCCTCAGAAGATCTGCTCTAAGTCTAAATCTAAGTGTATTTTTTCATCATATTCAGTCTAGAAATCAGATTATTATTACTATTTATATATTTTTTCTCTTTCTTTATATTATATTGTGATGTGTGAGCTACTGTGCTCAAATTATTTCCCTTGTGGATCAATAAAGTTTGTCTAATCCAGTCTAATCCATCAGTCCCTTGTGTTCATTCCCTCAAAGATTTTCCTCAAAAGATCTGCTCTATTTGCTGCCTCATATGGTGTAAAAAACCTTCTGCTCCTTGCACAGTCTCCATGAATGCAGGAAAAACAAACTCAGCTCATTTCACAAAATCCAACTCTCCCTCACTTGTGTCCTTTGAACTGCATATGCTTCTTAGCTGGTTAAAATCCCATGATAATAGGTTAAAAAGTTTCAAAAACTGCTCAGTGTGCGATTTCGATACCACAATGGCCACTCTTTATTTGGACAATCATAGTACTTTCTTTTATACTTTTCTTTTAGCAACCATGGGCCTATCTGTGTAATCCCTCAAATCCCTCAAGGTTGGCTCCATAGTGGTCCATGAGCGTATGAGACCTTATAATTTACATCTTCTGATACAGCTCAAGATCATTTTAAAGCTGTTCAGGAAAAGTTTAGAATCAATGCATGCTAAAATGATTATCTAGTTTTGACACAAGCTTTAGTATCGACTCCTGAGACAAGAACACAAGGAAATAACCTGTTATGACATAACAAGATGGCTTTACTGCGCACACCTGTTTTGTTTCGCTTTGTGTTGCAGGAGATTTGACTTCTGTCGCCTTCGTCTCTGTCTTTTCCTCCGGAGACTGATCAGCTGTTTCCTCTGGCTCCTGGGGGACATGTTGGTCTTTTTGGGCGGATTGTGCGGCTTGTCTTCGGGCTCTGAACTCCGCAAGTTTCTGCTCCATCGCACCTGTGAATCTGAGCTAGTATTTCCTTGCAAAACAAAACAAAAACGCTAATAATACGAAATCTTAGCTGCTTTCTCAAGAAATTACACTTCCTTTTAAACGTGGTATATGCTCTTTTACATATTCCACTTATCGATTAGGTTAAATTAAGCGTTTTTTGTCGGTGTTACGAAAACATACGTCTCACTTTGTGTTTGTTTACTTTACGTCCACGTTGGCCGCTCAGACGGAAGTGGTGCCGTAAGTCACAGGGGACTGTCGTAAATAGTGGTGCAGCTTTTCTCTTCATACAAGCTAGGCTCCCTTTGAATCGTTGAGGTAAATACAGATTATAAACTCTTTGTAAGTTGATATTTTTTAGATTCTGCAACATTAATTATCGGAGTAAGTGCATTTCTGTCCATTACAATACGCGTGAATGCATTTGTTGTTGTGTTTCTCGTGGTAGTTTTGTTATGGGTGTGTTAGCGCAGAATTACAGTTGTTTTATTATTTTGCCTTTTTGCTAAATTATTTATAATGTTGATGTATTTGATCATTTCTCCTCCAGCCATGGCTTCAGCTCCAGCACAACAGCCCACTCTGACTGTGGAGCAAACCAGAGGTGAGTTAAAGCTCTTGTACTTTGGAAGAACCAGTCCATTTTCTATTCTGTTTGTCAAAATCATCATCATCATCGTGCCTTAATAATCATTTCCTAGTAATAAAACCAGCAATTGTACATATTTTAATTCTACACCCTGATTCTCACACAAAAAGCTGTCAAACTATAACCAAATGTGATGTTAAATTGGATTGAATGAGAAATAGTTAGTCTTTGTGGTGTGTATAACTAATTATATTGAATGTGAATAGCACCAGGTCCAAGAGCATATTTTTGCAACTATATTTTTAGATATTTGGAAGAATATAACATAAAAAAAGATTATTGTGATGATTCTTTTGGCTTGTATTTAGAGTTCAGGGCAGGCCAAATTACAATTATTTATGCATGATATCCACATTGTTGGGAAAATGGTTGGAGCTGGAACTGCCAACAACTAGACCTGTCACAATTATTAATTACTAGAGATGTAACAATAACTGAATATCGTGATATTGTATCATCAAAGGTCTCACAATAATATCGTGGCTCAAATTACAAGTCTCTTAAATTGATAGTTATAGGGAGGGAACTACATAAACCATGATCTTTTGCTGTTTCAATGCAGACTACATGAAGAAATAAGCACTTAGCTCTTTTAAATCTGGTTAATGACTGCTTATCAGAGGCGTTGTTTAAACAGAATGTGAGGAAATGTTTGATATTTCATGGTAATGTTTGATAATGATTCAGTTGTGGTTGTTTCATTGTGTTTTAATCCATGTTTGAATCAAATTAATTTAATCCAAGGTGTTTAAATGTAATTTTTTTAATGCACAGCGATAATCTTCAGTTTTTAATGTATTCATAAGGTGAAGTTTAATAGAAGCCCTTTTGGGATTTTTGCCTCTTCCGGCACCTACTTTTTTATCTAGTGTGTTATGTTTTACGTGCAAAATAAATAAATATCTTTGTTCTTTGGATTAAGTCTTGTCAAGGCATTTTAATAAGAAAATTAGCATATTCACAATTTTGTTAACCTCCACAAAATGTTGCCATAAATATCGTACCGTGAGATGTATATCATGAAAATATTGTACCACGAGATTTGGATATTGTTACATCACTATTATTTATTATATTGTCTTAATTCAGTAAAGATGAAAGAGTTGGAATGAAAAAAATGGGGTTAATGTTTATTGTGAAAAGTTTAGAACATTAGGCCGATAGTTGGTTACTGAAAAAATACTTTAAAAGTGTTATTTTGTGTTCCAGTGGTGCTGAGTGAGGTGATCCAGGCATTTGCTGCTCCTGAAAACGCTGCTCGGATGGACGAGGCGAGAGAGAGTGCGTGCAACGACATGGGAAAGATGTTACAGCTCGTGCTCCCAGTGGCCACGCAGATTCAGCAGGAAGTCATCAAAGCGTATGGGTTCAACAACGAGGGAGAGGGTAAGACGCAAAAAGAACTGTGACTCACTGTTTTATGCAACTCTATAATGACACGTATACATTATTCCTGTAGGTGTCCTTAAATTTGCCAGACTGGTAAAGATGTACGAAACGCAGGATCCTGAAATTGCGGCCATGTCAGCCAAACTTAAGTCTCTTCTACTTCCTCCACTTTCAACCCCACCTATAGGAGGCGCTATTCCTGCTTCATAGAGCCTGGAAGTGGAACTATAAAAATGCAGTCATCATCCTTTGCTCTGTATTAAACACATTATGTCTTTAATTTACTCACTATTTTTAATACCATCAAGGGAATCTTATTTTGACATATGTATGGTTTTGTAAACATTCAAAGTGTTAAATTATTTCTTTTTGTCATATTTATTCTCTTTTGACCACATTTTTGTTGCCATCTTTTATACCATTTTATATGCCATCATAGAGTAAATATGTTGTATTAATAAATGTAACTTTTTTGGAATACACTTCATTGTTTTAATTGAGAAAACATTGTTATGGTTATGGTAATAACTTTATTATTACATTAAGGCCTAGGCAACCAATAATAAATATGTCCTGATAAATTAAAAATGCTTATTTACACACATTTACAAACATTTACAAACGTATATACATGTAACAAAAGTAATTAAACATAAAACGATAAGGCTTTAAATGTGTCGTTTCTGAACATACTGTAGTTTTTCCACACTAAAAACATTTTACCAAAACTAATAAGTGCCCTGATGAATAAATAAAGTGCTCAACAAAGCATCCAACCCAGGTGTCATCCAAAAAGTGCATGTGAATACAAACACTGTATTCTAATCAACCACACGTGTCTAGTGCAAAGTCTCTGAACAGCCTTAGATCACTACTGTGTTAGAATATAAAATACACACACATATAAAATTAAGTACAACTAAGTCAGAAATTGCACCATATGCATAATGTCACAGTTTGTTGATAGATATTACAGACGAATCTGTCATAAAAAATAAAAAAAAAATCTCACATCTCAAAGTGACGGAAGATGCTTTCGACATAATTCAGTACCCTTTGCCAATCCGGTCCATCGGCTTTCAGCATGTCCTCCACAGTCTGAGCAAAGAGGAACATTTGAGACATGGATACTTTTGAAATCTGTAGTATATGCATTGGTTTTTGCTATGGAGAGTTACCAGTGTGGCAGTAATTCCTACAGTCTCTCCAGTCTTAAAGGCAAGATTGAGATTTCCGTTCTGCAAAAACAACAAAACTATAAAAAAATTTAATCTCAAGTAAACTGAAACAAGACCCACTGCCACTGATTCATGAATCAGCAGGGTAATCCATCAGGGCAATGGTATGATAAATAAGTCATTACAGTCACAATGTACTTGCCTTGTTTTCAGGTTTGAGGGTGTCAAAGGGGATGGCACCAGGTAAATATGTGTGGAACAAAGCACAGAAAGCCAGGCCGTCCTCCCAGCTGCTGCTAAAGTTGGTTATGTCAATATTCTGCACACAGAAATAAGGATTAACAATGAAAGTTACAGATATGATGGAGCATATAGACTGAGAATAATTCTAAGAAATATGTTCAGAAAAAGTTCTAGCGGCCAATTTGATGAAAAGTCGGTAAACGTGCTATTTCCCATAATTTGAGGGTGCTGATTCCAAATATTTTGTTTACCAAGCTGAATTTTGAGTTTTAAGAATACTAATATGCATGAACTGAACATATACACTGACCTCATAACCTTGTGTTCGCTCCTGGCTCCAGCGCAGCAGAGAGTTTCTCCTAGAGCCGCCATGACGCCTCAGCAGGGCACTGAACCCGTCCTGCGGTCTGACAAAACATCAAGTCAAGAGTTCAAGGGCTTTAAGTGGCAAGGTCCTGTGTTAAAATGTGTTCCAAATGTGTCATACCCAGTACATGTATAAATAGTCTGCTTACTTAATAGAATCAGCATCCTCTTCTTTTTTTACTGCAACTATTAACAAATACAGAGAAATTAGTTGTCAAGATTAATGGTCTGATAACTTTTATATAGTAAGGCACCTGTGTAAAAGCTGGACCAGCTGTCTTGCCGCTGTAAAACTTTGTCAATCCTCCGTCCTTTGGTTTCTTCTTTCTGTTTTACAAAGACTATAAATATTGCACCAGCGTTTTATCACATACATTTAATTGTCACACCTTGCACAGGGGCAGTGTTGTGCTTGTGTTTTCTTCTTGTGCGTTTAGACCCTCAGACAGGAGAGGAAGACGAGACAGACTCCTGGAAATCCAATGTGGTCAATTTGAGGAATATTTATAGTGAGAATAAATATGGTATCTGCTGTATACATACCAGGATCGTTCTGACAGCATCACAATACTCCTGGAGTCCTTCAGCAGACTGGCTCTCTCCTTCTTTCTCTCCAAAGCGGCTAAACTGCGGAGGTAACACTCAGCCACGCCCTTCCCGGTCACACCGACACCACCTGTTTCACTGGAGTTCTCAGGATTTGGAAGCACATCTAGGTACTTCTGCTCATCTTCATTAGACTTTTCAGCGACAGATTGTGGCGCCTCCTTAACCACCTTGTCCTGTCTCTCCTCAGAGTCCTGTCTCTGAGTTTCACCGCTCTGCCTTGTGCGTCTGGCCGCCTGTTGCTTCTGCAGGGTGAGCTCGATGAGTTTACGACAGGCCACTTTATGATCAGCTTTCAGGTCCTTCAGTTGTGAGTCCTTGGCCTGTTCTCTGATTAAGGCCTGGTGCAGTTCTTCTTCTAAGGTCTTACATTTGTCTTGCAGTGAGTCCACAGCTTGATCTGACTCCACTCGGAGCCGGTCAGCCACAGACACCGCCACCTGCAGGTCACACTGGAACTGCTGCCAGTCCTCCCTCTCTGTCTGCTCCCGTAACGACACAACAAAGAGAGAAAGGCAGCATGCATGTAGGTATATGTGCACTCTGAAAGCGCCATGCACAGAGCTGAGAAAGTTCATTTTGTTACATTTTGTGAGAATGAGTATGCAAAACTGTCAGGCAAGGTTTACATATACCACACATTTCACACACAAAGTAACTCATCCACATAGTAGTCAGTAGTCTACTTAAGGTATGGTCAGACTTTTTAAATGTCCCATCCATTTTCCCAGATGCGGTAGACATGTTCACACAGTGTATCATTCGTTCATTAGTTTTTCAAAATAAATCCAAAAATAAGAAAACTAAAACATTACTGTTTTCTTCATTATTTGTCTTCAACACCAAAATGAAAAAAATGGATAATGATTCGGTTTTTCAGTTTTCTATTTTGTGTTTAAATTAATAATGGAAAAAAACGGATAATGGCCGTTTCCCGTTTACGTGACTTAAACTGCAGTGCCGGACTTTTGCACCATAAACAGATTAAACCAGGACTGAACCAGATCCGGGACCAGACCGGGACTGAGACCGGGACTGAGACCAGGACCAGGACCGTGACCCTGACCAAGACCGTGACCAGGACAGTCCTAGTTCAGTCTGTATGCAGTGCAAAATTCTAGCATCACAGTTAAGGTCATGGAAACGGGAAACAGACGTTATCCGTTTTTTCCATTTTTCATTTAAACCCAAAATTGAAAACTGAAAAAACGAATCATTATCCATTTTTTCATTTTGGTTTTAGAGACACACAGTGAAGAAAACAGTTGTTTTTTCATTTTCTTATTTTTGGTTTTATATTGAAAAACGACTGAACGAATTATACACGGATTAAGTTCAAATCAATTATTAGTCTGATTTGTAACATCAACTTTTTCTCTGTTGCAAACATTTTACACGATGATTAGATAATGTTGTGGTTCTAAAGATTATTCAGTTGGAAAGCAGAGTAATTCTCACAGTTCCAACATTCATTTAGGACAAAAGTATGACATATTTTAGTGTATTTTACAGTCTTCAAACACACTGCTCTATTGCTCTGAAACTAAATTTGACATGGTATTTACCCGCAGTGTCTCTCTGAGCCTCTGCACTTCTCGAGTTAGCACATCCCTCTCTGTCAGCAAGTGTCTAAGAAGCTCTAGAATAAAAAAAAAAAAAAACAAAGTTAAAGCAAAACACGCTTCCATCTGTATAGCTGGGATACCACATACCGACTGCTCCTGAGGTGAGGTCTGTGTTAGGCGCCAGTCCCATGGAGCTCTGGTAGTGCTCCATCAAACTCAGCAGCACCAGAGACATCTCCTCATTGGCCCTCTCCACTGCGGCCTGCGGCTCTAGCCCGCTGTCCCGCTCCTGCCAGCTCTGCTCTGAGGACGACCCCGACGACGGAGCCTCTTCTCTGGGACTGTCCGGGCTCAGTACCGCCGTGGTGTCGCTGCTTACATTGGCGATGCTGTCCACGCTGATCACGGCCCATTCGGAGGGGGAGGACAGCTTGTGCGCCCAGTCCTGGAGGGGTGAGGTGGGTGTGAAGGGGGTGGTGCAGGCTGCTGTCTGTGGACTAGTGTCTGAGTCAGAGGAGGCTTGGGAGGAGGCCATCATTGCACTGAGCACTGCCTCGGAGGGAGTGGTGGGAGGGGTCTGGAAGAAGTCCAGAGGAGATCCTGGGAAAGAAAATGCAGAACTACATCAAATCAACAAATGAAGCATGAATTTCTTTATTTCTGGTGCACAGTGAATTTAGCTTTCTTTTAAACATTAACAATTTATTTTAATCTACAACACAGTAGATTTACCTAGAAGCCAAAAACACAAAAGGTAAATACATCTCATGCAACCTCCTGTAGGGAATTTAATTTATTTTATTTTTCATGTATTTATTTAATGGGGACAATGCATATTGATGAACACCTACAACATTGCAGTGTAAATATGCCAGATGATAACAAAATTTCCATCTGTAGTCCCCAGGCAGGTAACACCACACATTTAACAGAAAAAAAAACAAGCAACAGTTCTAAACTAAAAGAGTCCACAAGTCTGGTTTTCCTTTAGCCATAGTTTCAAGTGGGATTTGAAAGTGTCCAGTGTTGGAGTCTCTCTTATTGATAATGGGAGACTTTTAAAGAACTTAGTGTCTCAGACTGAGACACATTTTGTCCAAATGTGGTGCGTCTGTGTGGGACCTCACAGTTCTCTCGAGTTGTGGCTCTAGTTCCCATCCCACTGACGTCTTTGTTTTAATAAAATCCTGTAACAGATGGGGGGCAAGTCCATAGACAACTTTATATATAAAAACATCCATATTTAAAATGAACAAAATTATTAAAACGAAGTAAGTTGTACTTGTACTTGCCCCTCCACGTTCAAACAGCCCCCACAATGGAGGTTTAATTTCATCTTAAGACCCACTTTTATTCTCTGGCTTTTAACACCGTGCAAGTTGTGTGGTCCTTTGTGTTTTTTATTTATTTTTAATGTATTTTTATTGGTTTTATTTATTTATTGCTATTCTATGATTTTGCTTATTTTATTTTACTGGTTTTATTATTTTAAGACTAGTTATGATTATTTTAGTACTTTATTTTATCATTTTATTATTGTTATGTATTTGTGCAGCACTTTGGAAACTGTGAAATGTGCTATAGAAATAAAGTGGATTGGATTGTCTAAAATAGTGCAGTGGTGAACTGAGAATGGTTTCTTGTCCAATATTTTAGCCTTTCAAAAGTGATTCGTCTGGTTTGAGTGTTGTGCCAGCAGCAAGTGACCATGTGGTATTGCAATACTCTATATGAGACAGAATCATGGAGTGTAAAAACATTCGTGCCGCATATAGAGTCACAAAGGATCTTACTTAAAATGAGCAGTTTTTGTGAGGTGCTTAATGAGTTTCTTAAATGTCAATGTCGGGTCCAGCGTCAGTCCCAGGTATTTAAACTCTTTGACGAGGCCGAGTCAAGAAACACATTGGGAATTGAACCTTGGACCCTCTTACTGCAAGATGAGTGCATTAACCTCTTTGCCACTGCGCCATCCTACGCAAACAGCTAATATCGAAAACCACAAGCTCTTTTTACAAACCATATTCAGCTTAAAAATTTCATATCCGTTTTGCTTAGTCGCCACCAGGACAAGCATCGCTCAAAATGTACTGCTACTTGCATTATATTAGTTGTGTGTCAAATTTTCTAAGTATTTGATGTGAATCTTCTCTTACTGCCACCTTGAGACATAACAATGTGTGTATGGGGTATTTTTAACAACTTTAATTTTAGCTGTGCTGCACAAAAGCGTCGGTAGCTCTCGCCTGCCTCTCCCTGTCGTCCTTGCGTTTTACTGCGGGATAGTGTCCGAGTCATCGTTTCCCAGCAGCCCCGGCGTGTGATGGGGTTTGATGAGCGCCTGCTGGCTTCACAAAGAGGCTATTCTCGCCCTGTTCACACACACGCAGAGATCGAGCAGGCATTTAAACCAGCTGCCCCGGAGAGAGAGCTAACCAGAGCATGCTGCCAGCCAGTGGAGGCTCCATGCGGGAGACAGCTGCACTCTGAGGACTACAGCCTTCAAGTGGAAAAGAACTAAACTACGGGTAATCTAGTGTTTTAGAGGATGCAGATTGAGCAGTGAGTCTATGTAGTGGGATTCTGTTTCATTTCTCCAAGACTGCATATTCACAAATGTCAATTCTGTGCTCTCTAATTAAAGGTTTTAATATTATAACATCAAAAACACACCAGCAATTGTGCCTTATTTTATTCACACAAGTTTAACAAACAAACCCTGCATATTTGGCCTGAGTTCTTCTCTCAAACAGAAAAAAAACCCTCATCATTGGTCTGTCCATATCTCCAAAGCTCAAAATGCTCTGTTCCTCCTTGTGATGTCATGTGCTCGTACAGGAAGCGCTCCCCTGTGTTTTAAAAACTCCATACACTACTGCTTCATGACGTCACAAGGTTGAACAGAGCATTTTGAGCTTTGGAGATGTGGACAGGCTAATAATAAGGGGTTAAACATAAAACAAAACAACTTCATGTGTGTTTTTGATGAGGAAACAACATTCTAACGTGACTTAGAGCTCATAAGAGTCAGTTATGTTCAACAGGGTAAACGTAACTCCCGGTTGATGCTTTTCTATGGCAAAATATATGTGGAAATGTCTCACGTATTTTCCAGCAGTTTCATAAATCTGCTCCATCACCAAATCTTCATCCAACAAGATCCACAAAGGACATATTCTGTTCTGTGCAGTTTAAATGCTTGACATGTAATCTGTGACACGTGTAATCTGTGTAATCTGTAGCATTCGAACTGAACAAATCTCTCTGTCTATGCTAAAATCAACATTATGAAATCGATTTTTTATTTTAATTCTAGAATCAGTCTGAGTTAACAAGTTACTTACGTTTTATTCATGACCATAATGTTAGTTTTGCTCACTAATATAAGTCTTTATTTGCCTTTAATTTTTCATCTTTCTTACATTAATAGTTGTGTGTTTATCCTCTGTGGAACTTGTTGGGTGAAAATATGGTGATGGGGCAGATTTATGAAGCTGGAGGAAAATACACAAGACATTTCCACAGATATTTTGCCACAGAAAAGCATTAACCCAGGAGTTATGTTTACCTACATCGCGGCACTTCCAGCCAGTTTGAAAAAAGATCTATATAGGACCTTTAATATCTGAAAGCCAGCAGCTGGACACACCTGACATGCCTGAATGCCATCAACATCATGTTACCGATTAAAGAAATAAGTAGTCTGACATGAAACATTACATAATTTTTCTTGGTATAAGACGTAGGATGCTAAATTGTGACTTAAACTTAACTGTCAAAATTATTTTAAAACAGGACTTGCATATTTGAGATGCTTAACCTGTAAGAAACCCGCTATGTAACCTTGTTTGGCTGTGTTTATTGCTTTGGTTTGGTTAGGTATGGTATGTTTTTAGTGTATTTGTACAAAAACCATTAACAACAAAGGTGAATGCCAATTTACACCTGTAGTCCATGAGCAGGTTGGTACAAATACTGGGAAAGCTGATTAATGTAACGTTTGACAGATTATCTGTAGAGCAAAACACACCAAATGTATAGACTCGTACCTGTGGACACACGGCTGTCCTTCCCAGCGTTGTTTCCCATGGTGCAGAAGGGGTCCGGAGCTGGACAGTCCGAAGCCCCAATGACCCCCACTCTGCCCTCTGTCGTCAGGTCTAATGGAGTCTGGACTGAAGAAAACACTTTAGGTTAACACTTTAGCACACATTTGGTTCCTGAACATTGCTGTAGCCTATTTGTAAACATCTTGCCTGACTATTTTTCTGCTCAAATATAACAACTCTGTCTGTACTCTGTATTAGGGGTGTGCAAAAATACTGAAATATCGATATATCGTATCGTTTAATGCGATGATACAGTATCGATATCATGGGCTGCTGTATTGATATATCACTAAGAGTATTTTTCGGTAGATTTTACTAAATGATTTTGTTACAGCCCTACAGATTTTTTGCTTGTTCAGAGGAAGGAAACTCATTTAGGCAACACATTTGACAATTTTTGATTAAAATGGGTATGTTTTAGGGGTGTAACGATATCCAAGTGTCACGATTCGATATTGTCAAGGTATGAACGTCACGGTAAGATATTTATTGCGAGATCGTGGGAAAGCTCACGATAGGGTGGGGAGGCTCACGATTAGGGATGTAACAATATCCAAATCTCTCAGTACAATATTTTCACAATATACATCTCACGGTACGATATTTATTGCGATATTTTGTGGAGGCTAACAAAACTGTTAATGGTTTTTCCTCCTAAATTGCCTTGACAAGACTTAATCCAAAGAACTAAGACTTAAAAGTGCTTAGAACTGTTATTTCTTCTTGTAGTCTGCACTGAAATGGAGCAAAGGATCATGGTCTATGTAGTTCACTCTGTCTTTTTTTAGCTATTGCAGCACCATAACTCTTAATTTAAGCAGAGACTTGTAATTCAATCTATTGTGATGGTCCTGATATTATTGTGAGAATTTTGACAATACGATATCACAATATTTCGGTTATTGTTACATCCCTAGCACAAGAAGTGGTTTAACAAAGACTTTTAATATCACAACCAGTGAACTGTATCAAATTGAATAGAAATACACCGTACTGAATCGTAAGCTCACTGTATCGAGGTATGTATCGTATCAGCAACTTCTTAATGATACCCAGCCCTACTCTGTACAGTAAGAGTCTATAAGTAAAAAAAGCACTACTCTGGGTTCATAAAAGCCTTTAATATGATGCAAACTTAAGCCTGTAAACTGTAAACCATAAACCACGTCTGTACACATGGACCCTCCTGAAGACCACAGCTTAGAAGATTTATTTCTCCATCAATACTTCCATCATTATGACTGAACTGGCTGACCTCTTTTTCAATAAAACGCAATTACACGAAAAGCATTTCTCATTGCAGCATTTCTCCTTTCCATGTGTGCGTCAAAAGTAAAGCTTCAATCAAAAACATGCATCAGTAACCTACTCTATCTTGCGTGAAATGAAACCAGATAATGAAAGGATGATGAAACAAAAACATGTTAATATATGCAAATCTGCTGCAGCGTAAAGAGATTTCACGTGTCCTTAAATGATCAGCAATCGTTTTGAAAGATAAACAGCTGGTACATCATGACTTAGAGGGTTGCTTTTTGATGCCACTGAACAGGGATGATGGATTTAAACTGTAATCAATCACTTAACCTTTCTAGCGATTCGATTAAATACCGAGTACTGCATGCAAGCGCGACATCAGATCAAACCACGTGTGATTTGAGGTTTTTTTTGGCATGCCACAAAACGCATGTAGCTCTGGTTTCATTCATCTCACCTCCTCCTCTTCCTCCTCCTCTAGCCCAGCTCTTCCCCCGGGGTCTGGCTTTTTTTCTCACGGCCCACTCGACGTCCCGGTGCGGCTTTCCTCTCTCCTCTCCTCCTGCGGTAGTCACTGGGTCAACTCGCTCCTCCGGACATCCCAGATCCAAAAGCGAAAACGCGGTGCACTGATCATCTGTTACGCGGCGTTTTAAAGTTTCCCTTCGCCTTTAAAAAGTCACTGCGACAAAATCTCTGCGTGGATTATGAAAAGAGTGGCGCAGATGCACGTTGGGGGCTGTGGAGGAAGTTTGTGTGCGCGGTTTGATCCGGACACGAGGCGGGAAGCGAGGTGATCACGCACAGGTGTGACCGTGTGCGACAAGGTCACGCGGACACGACGGAAAAGTTCAAATGGGCATCTGGATAGAAGTTGTAGGCCTATTGAATTACAAATAAATAAATAATTAATTAAAAAACAACAATAATAATCATCATCATAACATAAAAATGGGATAGGATAGTTTCTGATACAGGCCGCCAGACGTAATTAGCATATTTGAAAACAGTATTCTAAAATTTCACGTAACCTCTGAGAAATAAATAGCCTACTTCAAGATAAAATGAGAAAAAAACACTTACCACAAAAAAATAAAAAATAAATAAATAAAATACAATAAACTAATAATCCACCCAGATTATTACACACACAAAAGGAGCTCGGAGTAGAGCCGCTCCATGTCTTGCCTTGAGCATCTGCTCTGGATGCCTTTCTCGGGAGGTGTTTTGAGCATGTCCCACAGGAAGGAGGCCCCAAGAAATACCCAGGACATGCTGAAGGAACTGTGTCTCTTGTCTGGCCCGGGAATGACTCGAGATACCCCAGGGGAGCTGGAGGAAGTGTCTGGGGTGAAGGAAGTCTGGGAGTCCCTACTTTGACTGCTGCCCCTGTGACCCAGCCCCGGATAAGCGGAAGAAAATGGCTGGATGGATATTAACAATAATAAATAAATAAATGTGATTTGGAGAAAATGTAACCTATTCCGCGAATTATTCTAAATACAAAAAGAAATTGACATACACACACTTTATTTAAATTATTTATTGGAGGGACAGATTTTTTTTTTCTTTTTTACTAGTTAATATTACACAAAAAATGAAAGAAAATTACTATAGCCTATTTCAAAGTGTGATTTGACGCTATAACTTTGTATTATGACGTTTCAGAACCATGGATAGCGACAACAAAGTTTCTTTGGCGCCATCTGGTGCATACCTGTAAAACAACAGTCAAAGTCCTGCTGCACAAATCTGATTTAATTTCATCAACATATTTGAATAAAAGTTATACAGAAAAATATGGAATGAGTTTCTTTGTTAAATATTTGGGTGAAGATAAACGGATCAACGACGTAAAAAAAAAAAAAAAATCACATGGTTTTATACAGGACAAAGTTTGTACAGTTTTGTAGGCCTATGATTATATTTAAGCTTGTATTGTTGTTTTTTTTAATAAATATAAAAATTTAAAAAGCCTATTCACAATTTCCAGTTATTTCTGTGCAAAATTACTTTCGCTTTCACAAAATACGCATTCCCAATAAAGTTTTAATACTTTCAGCAACTTTAAATAGACTAATTATCTCATGCTGAACTAAACTTGTTTCTAAGACCAGTATGTACACTCCGTATTGCGTAAGGCTAGGTCTGCTTCATGACACCCTTAATGCCTGTAATAAATCAATAGAAGTAGGCTACAGTGGCACAGTGGCGCAGACTTTGTGAAAATGGCGTCAGTTTATAGGCTGCCTTTACGTGGAGGAGCCGCGCTACCCGTGGCCAAAACAACCTTTAGCCCGTCACAAGTCTAATCTAATATGGGACACGCGACTGTATCGAGACCAGCGCGGAACGACCCCTCACGCGGAGCCTTCATCCTCCTCCTCATCATCATCATCACCACCATGGGAGAGTCCGACTGTTGTGCAGATGCTTCCCCCGAACACAGTGACCATCTCCCCGGCTGCAGTGGAGGGACATCATGGGCACCTCCTCACCTCCGCGCGCTTTGACTCCTGGCACCGTGAAGTGACCCGAGGAGAAGAGACATGTCCGCGTTCGGAAAGGTACCAGCGATAATAAAGATGTAAACGAAGCGACCAGCAACGTGTATCCCGCTGTTATTGACCGTAATCAAGGTGTAAGGACGCACAGTCACCGTGACGTCTGCGCGTTTACACCTGGACTGGAATTACGCAGTAAAGTTTGATTATCCGAATGGTTGCATGTGCGCCTCCCCGGGGTGCTCCTCCGCATAGATTTGTCAATAACTTAATGATGCAGAACAGGTAGTGAGCTGTGGGGATCACGAGGTGGAGTGTGGCGCGCAGGGGAGGGTGTGTTTTGTGCATGTCCTTGGTGACTTGAAATGAATGGGTCAGTTTGTGAATCGACAAAATGACAGCACAAATGAATCATAACTTAAAATAAACAGAAACAGAAAACGTGATAGTAGAACATACAGAGACAACATATTAGATCCATGCATTAGAAGAACTGGGGATGGGATTTATTGGTATTAACGAGGTCTTAAAGATGCACTACGCAGCTTTTTTTGCTACCATGGAGATGTTATTGCATCGCCTGTAATGTTCCACAGTATGACGTCGAACTTATCTGTCTTATATGTGTGTTTTAATTACTCAAATGTCTTGAAAAACCTGCATTCCTACTGCGAGTGGAGCCGCCTCTTCATAGATCTGACCTGTAGCCTTTGGGGTAATAGATAAGTTTAAAGCAGACCTATTACACAAAATCGACTTTTCAGAGCTTTCAAACATGTTATAGTTGTTTCTTCACATCATTTACTCACCTAAAGTTGTATTTGGAGTGATTTGTGCATGTTTGAGCAAGCTTTATGTGCTTATTTTCAAGACGCCATATTGCCGATCAATCCATTTTCTCCACCACAGGCATACGCCCACTGCTCTGTACTCTATATCTTCTCCAGTTTTATTCTCTTAACCAGTGAAGCACATAGGATTCTGCAGTGTTGTGTAATAAGTTTGGTACAAATGAAAAACAAAAACAAAAAAAAAAAACAAAAAAACTGATACTTGCTAGTGTGATGTTCAGCTATCCATCAGAGGTGCCGACTCTTTGTTGTAAAGTCCCAGTTTTCCACAGTACTGTTTTCGAACATGGAAATCAGCTGACTTATTTCTTTTAGTAAGTAATTTTAGGTCAGTATTGCCATTTAAAATGAGCAAACAACATACAACATAATGACACAAGCAGACACGAGCACATTAGGCCTTCTTTAACACAAGCAATATGTTGCAATATGTCTCCATAGAGACAAGTTGGTGGCACATAGCCAGGCTGATGCCACCTAGTGTCTCCGCTCCATATCATTTCACTCCAGAGACTAGGTCAGGAATCGAAATACACTAGACCATTCACAAAAACCCTGGAAGTGCGAGTTTGGGCACCAGCCAATGAGCAAAGAGCCATACATTCTGTGCCGGCAGCGATTCCCGAGCTCGAGGATTTAAAGGCGGAACAAAGAGAATGTTTGGTGAATTTTATCAAGGGGAAAGACGTTATTGCCCTTCTTCCAGTGGGATTTGGGAAAAACTTAATATACCATTAGCAGCACATTACATACGTCATGACCAAATAGCAGCGATTGGTTAAATGAAAAAAGTGCCCGCCTACCGGTCATGTCAGACAGTTTCTACGAAGTGAAACCGGCTGATGAATCAGGCTAGGTGGCACATGCTGCACCAGAAAAGTTACATGCACCTTTGGTTGACTCTGACTGCCCTGTTTAAGCTTAATTTGGAATTACAAAATAAACATATTTTATAATTTTACCTCATTCATGGACTAAAGCTGCATTGCTTTTATTTTAGAGTCGTTTTTTGTAAAGCAGCTTCACTTTTTCATTGCTTAGTCATAACATATTCTCTTAAAAACAATACTATTTACTGCTTTTTAGAAAGAAATACAACTAATATTATGCAGAATTGAGTTCCCGCCACAATATTTTCTGTTTCTCATGTGGCCTCATGGAAAAAATTATTGCCCACCCTTGGTCTAAAATCACTCTTTTTCTCAATATATGCAAAATGTATTCATATTCTAAAGTCTAAATTATTTGTCTTATGGTTAGTTAGAGCCAAAGCAGCCAGTGAAGGTCAAGCTCTACCTGTGTGCGTGTGTGTATTCGACCCAATCAGTCACAGCTCTCCCTCTGTCCCAGGTGTTGCCATGGATACTCCAGACTCCGTGCTGCCTGTTCTTTGACAAGGAGGACTCAGGTAAGAGGCGGAGGAGGGGGCGCCACACACAGATGTCACAGACCCATTAACACAGCAGCACACAATAAAGGGAGAGTTTTAGTGAGCCGAGATGACACGAGCTAGTGTTAAACTACACAAAAGTGCTGTCAAAGTTAGAGCAATTACTCGAAGGCCGCGGTATCTGCTTTCTAAATGGTGCGTCACGATGTAAGAAGAGGCGAAGAATAAATCCTCAATTTGAAGCCCACATTATTACAAACAACAGTTAAATGTCTGATATTTCACAAAATGGATTCTTATGAGCTTTAAGCCATGTTTTAATGTTGTTGCCTCCTCAAAAACATGCCCTGAGAGAGTTGTGTTTTGTTCATTCACACGTTTGAGTAATCCATTATTATAAGTATGATCTAAATGCTCTGTTCCACCTTGTGATGTCATGCCACATTCTAAAGAGGAAGTGACCACGAGGGCGCTTCTGGCTCCATCAACTCTGTCTCCAATTGACTTCACGTTGAAAAGTTGTCACCAAGCATGAAATTCTCACCTTTTGGCAAAATTCTCAGTTTTGAAGCCAAAATAAGTGACCAGAGTGAATTGTGTAGATTCAGTGAGAAAAGTTAAAAGTAGAAAATGACAAAAAATTGTCTCAATTTGGTCTCGAGGGGCCGTGGTCTCGATATTCTCTGGGTCTTGACCTTTAAAAGTCTTAGTCTTGTCTCGGTCTGAACCCTCACAGGTCTTGGTCTTGTCCTGGTCTCGGGACCCTGTGGTCTCAATTAGTCTTGGTCTCGATTAGTCTCACCTTTTTCACCCCTGAGCCGTTTTCATGTCTGGTCGTCACCCCTCTCTCTCTTACTACTGCAGTGATCCTCGTCATTTTGGTCTTAAAATGTTTATATTAACCCGCTCTACATGATTTAGGTGTTTATATTCCGCTATTTTGTCTGTAAATAAATTTCTAATATAGATCCTGGTTCCAAATTCGCTCCTCTAACTGCTGGCATCGTGAGCTTCATTTGACATTT